CAGGAGGGTCGGTTCAGGAGGGTCGGTTCAGGAGGGTCGGTTCAGGAGGGTCGGTTCAGGAGGGTCGGTTCAGGAGGGTCGGTTCAGGAGGGTCGTTTCAGGAGGGTCGTTTCAAGAGTGTCGGTTTAGGGGTGTCAATGACACCGGATTAAAACTTCCATTTCAACGCCGGGCATTTCTGGGAAGAACAGGACCACTGAAAAGTGCACCCATGCAGTAGTAGCCGTGTCAAATCGCTGCATGTCAGAGAAAAACTGGTAAGAGGTCGAGGAATATCAGACCCGAAGTTCTTTCTTTTCGGGATGGCCAGACTTGATAGCACAACTCCTTGGTACTTCAGGCCCATGGACAGTAGCAGGCCCGTGTTGCCCTGGGATATTCTGGGCCGCTGTGAAAGGCTATGGGAGAGTTCTCAGACTAGAATCGGCGTTGAATTGCTGTCTTTGATACCGATAAGCAGATTCTTCGAATTGCTGCTCCGTCTCTTCCAGACATTTTATGGTAGGGGCAGATGAAGCTCTGAACAAGGATAACAAGGATTCGTGTATCCTCACCATCGCCGTGGTAGCAGGTGGGGAGCTTCCGTTAGAACACTCAGGCCCATCAGTGGAAAGATATTGCATATACTTCAGAATCTTTCGACGGGTTTTAGTTTTGGGGATCAAAAGTAGCGCCGTATTGACTAAACTGACTCGACCAGCGACCTCATCACCTTGGCTGAAAGGTAGGGAGAACCTTTCCAATTATTGCCGTGCTAGAACCGGCCGAATCAATTCCGAGCAAGGCGAAATGAGAGAAGATGACGCTGAACTGTTCTAACAGAATGTAGGCATTAGGATCTTGGGTAAACACACGTACGGGGACGACAACTTACTACACACAAGGCGATGTTCGAGACATCCCTACTGCTCCTTGGTTCGGTCCCAGCTTCGAGCCACTGTCCGTCATTTCAAGTAATAGAGCATTGCAGTAATTGGTTCCACCCCTGACATGTTCTTTGAGATTTTCCTTTGCGTACGGTTCCCTGTCGACCGTGCGTTCGGGAAAAAAACCGCTGATTTCCCTAGAGCGAGATCTGGTGCGATTGTGCCAATCGTCAGCCCAGTAGCACTAGTAGGCCTTGTGGGCACTATTGACCTTCTGACATAATTGCTTTCGGCTGTGGTTGCATGTATGGTCGAAGCTGGGATTGAAGGCGGACCGCCATGATCACGCTGTGCTGAATGGTGACAGAACTCGACTGTCGCAAGCAGTCGTCGATTTTGCGTTGCTCTGCCTGCAAATTGCTGGAAGGACCTATCATTCGGGGGATATCTGGATAAGAAGACCCAAATGGCCACGAGATCGTGCTTGTCAGGTAGTGAGAAGATATTGAAAAAAACATGTACTTCGGTGTTGATGCTTGCGTGCGGGAGTAACCCGAATAGTGTACTTTTGCAGAACAAATGCTGTCTCATGGACACCCGCACCGGATTCCCTCGTCGGAAATAGTGACGTGGACCCTGAGATTATTCTTGCCTGTAATCGATAAGCTGGAAGGCGCGTGACCTCTGCTGAAGAAGAAGGTCCAAGAGCAGATGGCATGACTCCACTCCAACGCTAACCAGTCTCACTCTGCAAGTAGGCGATTCATAAGCTCATCGGTAGCTGATTGAATCGGATGCTGGGCATCGACATCTGGAAGTACACGACGCATAAGGCTCCGATAGGTTCAGTCTTTCGCTCGGCCTTGTTAACATGGACAATGAGCGAGCACCAGTACATGGCGCAATGTCTGTGCTCGTTATTCAGGACATAATCGTCAAGCGCGCGTAATCGCTCAGTGTCGGGCCATTAAGTTGAGAATAGGGCCGTAAATATGATACTCTCGGAGGATGTTCCGGAGACTCGAGTTATCGCCATTTGTCGATGTGATCTACAACTCCAATCTGTAAGTTTTCATCCCAGCAGGTTATACATTCTGTAGCGCTTCGAAGGCCAGATATTCAGTCCTAGTAGCCGAGAACGACAGAGCAAAGGAAAACACGGGCTCCATTCTGGAGCTTCCTCTTCCTCTTCCTTTCTTGGTTACGGTATCGCCGCTCAATGTATTATGCGAGCTTTGCCGCTAGAAGATTCAAGGATGGCAAAGCCCAAGGTCACACACATGGCTTATCAGGTGAGTAAATTATCTGTAGGCAACCAATACAACTCCTGGTCAGCGATACATATGCCCGTCTTCCTCAGTGATGAACGGTTCCACGTCTTCTGTTGTGCGTACGCGCATTTGTCCTTTCAAAGCTTTCAGCAACGACTTTGAAAGATTGGTGGCCAAGCTAATTGTGGAAGGCGGCACGCATAGAGTCATCAAAAGTGATGAGACTCCGGATTCGCGTGCGGTACTACCATATTGAGGTAAATTGTCATGCCCAGGCAGCAGGCCTTCACCGGTGCAAATTCTCTTGGAGTACCTAGTCATCGCCTTCTCGAACCCAGACCCGCGACTATGATGTGGATTCGCAATGCGACGAGTGGGTCCGAGAGGTTGGTAATTAAATGCTGTGCATAAGCAAAAAGCGGCAAAATGGAAGAGTACTCTGGGCCACTGCGACAACCAGGAGTGAGAAATCGCAGTGTCTGGTAGTGTGATCAAACGCACCACCCCGGTGAGGCGACGAGGTCTTTTATGTAGTGTGTAGTGCACCTAGCGCTGAAAGATGCGCGCGAAGACAACGCGGATAGTTTCGGGAAGCCTTCAAATCGCTGGGCCCTCTGAAGCGGTGATAATGACAAACCCAATGGATGAAGGGCTGATGTTCCCTCTCGACTAAGAGAAAGTCTGTCATCCAGGAAGATCTTCGGAAACTGAAAGTGGTGACCCGAGGTGGTTTGCGGTCAACGAAGAATGTAGTAGACGGCCGTTTCGTCTGTGTCGCCCTTTCCAGCTAGATGCGTCCAGTGGGTTGAGTATGTCACACATCGTGGGCTGGTAGTAGGATTCTATAGCCCTGAGTATTTGTCAAAGCACCTCAAGCTGGCGTGGGCTTCTATCTAGCCTCAATCAATGATGACATGACCGGTTCGAGATGACGAGCTGTTCCCTCAACGTGTGTCTGTCGAGCTGGGGCTCGGCCCACCATCGCATGAGTGGGGTGTTCATTAGTGCCTGTGCCCTCCCAGTCCTTCTTAAAAATCATGTTTTTGGCCCTTCCTTTGGTTAAGATGCCGCAAGTCTTGCTCCCACTGAGATCTTTTCGGATCAGCAATCCTCGGCAGCACAGTCCTTTGGGTGTTCTTGTAAATCCCTAAGAGATCCTAGGTTCGCGCGGGCCGCTTTCCCCGCCTGAACCACAAGTATCTGTCCTCCAAGGCCTTGATGTTGTCTATCTCATGGTTATGGCCCGCGAGGTGAGAGACTTTTGGACTGCAATTGAGCATGGTTGTCCGTTCCGGTGCGGAGGCCGAGCTGCGAGGCGAATATCTTGAGGTGTGGATAACATAGGGTGGATCGGCGCTCGGTAATCTGTTCAATGGAAGAAAGGCCAATTCGTCCCTTGTTCACTCTGCTAGTCGCTATTCTCGATGAAGGAGAAACCAGATGGTTTCCAGATAAATCAACTCGTCGTTGGAAGATGAACCTTCATTATCAGCCGGGTTGCAACGACGTTCAAGCGAGTGGGCTACAGACGACAGCCCCAAAGATGCCCCTGAAGAAGAGACTGTGCACAGGCTTCGCCAAACCAGCCAGGGAGGCGGATACACGTGCGAAAGGCACGGCGACGAGTAACGGTGGAGGATGTTATGCGGTGAGGACCTGATGCGACTGTGACGAAATCACGAGAGGTCACATAGAGGGCCATTGCAAGGGCATCGGGGTCAGCATTGAACTAGCTTAGAGATTAGTTCAAACAAATCTGCAAATGGGAGGATACTAACAATAGGGAAATGGTGCCAAAGAGGCGACATGTCAAGTTCGTGAATAACTAAGTCATACTAGTTGCCATTCTCATCGTAGAGGTTTAGGAGATTGCCGAAATTGTTGTTAACCCTCTCGGTCAGCCGGACTGTGTGCCAGATAGTATCGGTGCTGGAATCAATGCAGCGGCGAGCGGAGGAGAGCATTGCTAAAAGCAGGACAAAAGGAGGGAATGTATGCTTGGCCGCGGCCATTGGACTGAACAGCATACACTGCCAGAATGGATCCTTAATGTCATATGTGGTGCTCTCTCGCTTGAGGATCATTCTTTTTCGCTCACTGATGAGTTCATCCATCCAAGGCTGGCTCTCGTCCCCAGACAAGTCCTTGCCAAGCTGAGCTAACTCTTGTTCATTTGGAGATTCATCAAAATCCGTCTCATTTTCACCAGTATTTTGAGCTTGAGCCTGAGCAGCACAACGTTCTTTGCTTTCTGTGAAGCCACTTCTCTTTTAAGAACAGTGAACAGTTGGTCTTTTCCGATGTCAAATCCACTGTCTTAATCGACCATAAGGTCGAACGATTAGAGTCTCACATTGGCTGAGCGGAACAGCCACGCGAGATCCGCTCCACAAGATACAGTGTCGCGGGTTTTCTGGCCGGCTTTCCACGTCTAATGGTTTAAATCTCCGGCCCGGAGACAAAAGCATGCGCGCAAAGTAGTGCTTCCACATATGCTTTGATCAAAGTCCCCACCAGAACCACTTATCAGGAGGTAGGGCGAGTTGTGCCCTCTCTGTGGTGATTAGACTCATACCCTTCAAGTCTGATCCGAGCTCGATCGGAACCTGCTACCTTTGTGCATAGAATCCCTCCTGCGAAGCAGTATTTGAACTATCGCACAGTTTGAGGTACCTGTCGGAACTTGAGCTCTTTGCTTCCCATTGACAATGATCGACTCTCTTTCTGGGAGTGTTGTAGCATAGTACATGGAACCAAACATGTGGTTGGATCGCCGGTGATCAACCAAAAGGCTATTTTCTGAGAACGAGAACGGACTGTTGCTTCTCACACAGCTTGCCCCTATAGCTGGGGATCATCTCAGGCGAGTATCATAGTTGGACAAATAGGTAACATGACTTGTGCTCATTCCCGGAGATAAGGATCCAGGGATGAGTCACTTCGCGAAATGTTTTATGCTGAACTAGCATGTTGCTATTCGATCTGGGTTCTCAGTGTCTGTCTCTAGGACATCCAATCTAATGATCGGCGTTCAATATTTGCGATTCTCCTGATTTGCTTAGAAAGGAGCAGAGGAAGATAGCGCTATGTCCACGATGCGTGCCACTTGCATCGGTCTCAATTTGCTCGTGCGGTCTTGTTCCTCGCCCTGGCCCGGGACGCTCGCTAGCCTGTCTGTAGCTATCGGGGGCTATGGCGATGACCTCATATGGTTTGAATTGATGTTTTCTCGACAAGCAGGAGGCCCTAGCCATCAAATGGATCTGGATCAGCTTCCAGTAGTCGTTCTCAGATCTTCCTTCAAGCGCTGACGTCTCAGGATGTTGAACTCCAGCTCGTGAAGTCTTCAACACGCAAGCCAAGATGAAGGGCAGGAGATTTGAAAATTGCCTGTCTGTGCCAACGCAACTATGCTATGAGGTGCGTAGCTTTTCTTCCTCCGTTACGAAGAAGCTCACCTATGCCTTAAATATTGAGCTTGCCAAGCATGAGCACATCCTCTTCGACGACTTCAGCTGCGGTTAACCTCCAGACGCGCACGCTCTGCTAACCGAGGGCTCTGACATTTTACATCTGCACCGCGGTTATCATATAGTTGTTGAGCTCGCTGTCAGCATAAGGGCAGCTCTGTTTGTCACCTCATCACTCGGTATTTGAGGGCACAAAATGGAGACTGAATTGACTTCGCACATTCGACTTGTCGGCGATCGCGATCCTTGCATCTGGTGACCTTGATATCTGATAAAACTGTCACACGGGGCTCATCACTACAAGCACGAGATCGCAACCCAGGCCAATTCACTGAAAGCTTGCGTGTAATACCTTCTGTGCTGAGATTGCTTGTGTGCCGATCCTTGGCGGCCTTGGCCGGATTCAGAGCTCTTGAGACCATAGGTCATGTAAAATTCTCTTTATGCAACTATTAATGTACGCCGAGTGGAGTTGCCGCTGTCTCAGTTCTGTCATCGGCCATATACAGGCCGGGGTAAGTTAAGCAAACGCACCAGACTGTTTGAGATTGGAGAGGATTGACTCCGTCGAGGCGATAAGTTGTTAACATATGTAAAGATTGAACATGTCAGTGCTCGAGGCATTCTCGCTCTTTCATTCCGTTCCAACGTGTGGCAGTAGGTGTAGTTGCAGTCTAGACGACTTATCTCGGTCGATGGAAATTCGTCCAGACAGAAGTATGCATCACATGCAGCAACCTACTGATCGCCTACCATGTCACCGACAGTGGACACAATGGTCATGCTATACGGCTGGATTGAATCCAGGAAGTCAAGTCGTAACAGCCACAAAGGCGCTCCACCACATTTTCATGAGTTTCTGGTCCAAGGCTTGACACCTCAACTCCCCAACAACAATTCAACGGTTCAGACTTAGCGCTTCTGTGCCATAGTGATGGACGCGATGCGGTACCATCTCTCGGGTATATCTGGTGTGCTTGGCGATGCGCGCGGCTCTGTATTCAGCTTCGTCCCCTGCTCGGCAAGGAGAAGAGCCTGTCGGCGTAAAAGCTCCTCGTTGTCGGCTTCACGTTAATCCTGGGTTCGTGTTGAGGGGAGCGGCGTTCCGCCAATAGGCATGCGATGACATTGGCTGATTGATAGATGATTCTGCTGGCTGACTGTGACAGATTCTCGTCATTGATAACGACGCACTGTTGCCACTTCTCCAGCTTCTCTGGCATCGTAGGCATGATTGAGCACGTAGCAGGATGGCGCCGCGCGTCTGGGGGAGTTTTGCTTCGCGGAAGTATGAGTTGCTCTTGTATTTGCTCGTATTCGTCCTAGAAAAGTTGATTGAATGGTCCGGGTCTCTGGTTGGAGGTTTTCCCCGGACTTCCAGCAAACTGGTCAAGTGGCGCTCGAGCGCGGACGTCTTTTTTCGAGCACTCGGTTTCGGATATAAGGGACTTGTCATCCAGGTACTCGGGTACCTAAGCCATGGCGACGGATTTTGGGGCTGGACGGCCGCGGCAGTACCCGGGAGGCGAATCGACTGTTGGGGCTGGATAGAATCGAAGAGGACTTCCGATGGCTGCCGCGTACTGTGGAGTGCTGGAGAAGCGACCGACAGCCGTAGGGAGTGGTGGCATTCCTTTGTCGGTAAATAGCTAGGATTGACGGACCCCTACTCGATATAATGTGGACGGTAGGCGCAGATGCGCCCGATGGGCCGTCAGTGACAACGAATGCGATGCGAGTTTTGATACCTTCGTTACAGCTCAATGACCGGCTCACCTGCTGGCAGAATGGGTAGCTGGGGGCTCCAACTGACAGGTTAAGACTGTAGATAATCCCTGTCACTTCACTGCAATGCTCCTATTTACAGGTGCCAAGTCATTCGATCAATATAGTCATCAAGGCCGCCCCTGTTCGGGGTTATCTCCTGGCTAATTGGAGTTGATCAATTGGAACTCGATGCTAGTATTCACATTGAGTGCTGCAATGCGTATTCAGGTGATTGAGCGGGTACATAGACAGAAGCATAGGTGACTTTGGTAAAGACCCGATTTGCGCCAGTTTAGGTGACGACTTCGAATTAGGGCTCAGTGTTAGATCCACCGCCGCGGAGTTCATCGAGCCTGCCTATTCAAGATCCTTGTAGCTCACGGCGCAGGCTCAACTTATCCAAGTCCTCCTGTACTGGGCCACGGGGTTCACTTTGGAAGTGAGGCAAAGAATCGAGCTCTTCTTCCACAAAAAGTCGTTATCCCTAATGATAATGAGAGCGCCGACTCAGCCACTACTGTTGGAATCATTAGAATGGACCAGAATCGTTAGCCCAACTGATGGACAGAAAGGACCCTGTAAATTCAGGCAACTTACATCGTATATGACCAGACTGCCAGCGACTGTGAAGGACCGCGGGGAGGAGGTTAAGGGCAGCATATAAGAAGTCAACACCTCTCTCGATAAGCTGGTGTAGCTTCAAGATCTGCGACCCAATGAATTCTCAGAGAACAAAAATGAGCGCCATTGTGTATAGACCCTTTCCTGGATAAGGGCGGCGGCATCCGAGTCATTCAGTATGCAACCTTGAGTCTCTCTTTGAGATTTTGGGTAGCATACTCTGCCCAAGCCAGCGGCTATTCTCTTTGACTTCTCTAGTCGATAAGCAAGAAATTTGCTGCTATCGTTCAGCAAGATGGTTCGAATTAGTGAAATAGGTCAGCAATCTACGCGCTAGCCGTCAAGCTTTCGGCGAGATGCGTCAAGCTGTCACTTTAGTTGACGATATTGTCCATGCGAGTCAGTCAGCACCGCGACTCGATCGAGTGGCATTAGTGCCATAGTTTCCTAGGAAGGCTCGGACTGTTAGACAATGAAGCTCTGAATAATCAGAGAAAAATAAAGGGAAGACTTACAAGTTCTCTGGCTGAACAACTCAACTTTGTAGTTTTGAACGTGAGCGTAAGGCTTCCCCTCGCAATGCTTTGGGTTCTGCACAAACCCCCTTATCAATCTCTTCGGCCCCATTCGAAAATGAAGATGAAGAATAAGAACAGGCGAAGATCGCTTTGCCTGACACTGTGTTCAGTGAGATCGATGATTTCGATAGGTTTTCCCCTAAAAAGAAAGTGGGTAAGAGCTTTGCAGCAGGAGTACGCTAAGATAGGGTGCAAAGTTTGAGGGCCCAAACGTGATTCGCAGGTGAGAGGCTTTATGTGGAAGTGGTGTAGTGATTCGCTTGCGGGGGGCGTTTGTTCGTCGCAGGTGGTTGTGCCGATGAACAATCCCCAAGCCGGCAATGCAAGAGCAGCCCTATACCTGCTATTTCCAGCCCGTGTGGACTTGGGTTGGCTTTTCCCGTGGATTGTGGGCTCGCATACGCTGCTTTCATCTCTGCATACCGAAGCAAAATCTACCCACCCGTGAGAAGATGGGATATCGCAGGAAGAGAGGTGCGGAAGTGTACGGCATCCACCATGTTGCTCGGTTTGGTTGAGTACGTTTCGTATTTTCTACTTCGGAACTCTGTGTCTTCTTCAAAGACGGCGATAAGTGAGCCATCTTTGGAGAACCTTGGCATCGCATGTATAAAAACTGATGCGGCTGCTGATCTGTTGTCGCATCAGTGTGTTGGATGCGACGTATCGAAATCAAGAATGCCGGGCGAAACGACCATCATGGTACCGCAGTAAATGCTTAGAACAATACCAGGGATGCCCAAGACATAAGTGTCAGAGATCAGTCAAACTCAGACGCGTTGCAGTGGTCATACGGCCACTCATGGGGCGGCCTGGTCGTGTGACTCTCTGACTGACTTTCTCCGATTGAGGAGCCTCAATCCTTAGTATCCGAACCCGAGGGTAAACGAATGAGCAATCTCAGTTTCGCTTTCTGGGAGAGAGTACATCTCTCCCTACCTCGATCGTGAACGGATGGGTGTTCTTTCACCTTTGCCATGCCTTTGCGCTTCAGGCAACAGGTAGAACATAGCACTGAAACGACATAGAGAAACCCAGACTGCAGGAAGCAAATGGAGGGACGCGATGAGATCGCACAGGTTCAAGAAAGGTCATGAGCAGGTGAGAAGAGATTAGACATTGCATGGCCCAATGTGAAACAAGAGACAAGAGTTGACCGTCACGCCAAAAAGATCGACACCACATCTTTAGAGACTCAAACGCCAAGCAAGCCCCACAGACAATGTCTTGTGCCCGGAGAATCTAACACTGACTTGAGGAAAAGCATGGTGCACTTGCTAATACAGCGAAAGGGATCAAGATGATTGAGACAAGAAAGTCAGATCAAGAATGAGCAGGAGATGTAAGAAAGCCAGACGCCGGCGTGGCAAAATCCGCCTGGGCTTGCACATGCAAGTGTCAACTGGCGTTCTGTTGAGTCCTGATAAGGATATAAGATTGAGGAAGAAGATGATCTCAGCTACCAGACGGTCGCAATCAGGTTCCAGCCTTTTGCTTACTGGTGTTTGACATTCAATTCTGCGCTGCCGTGATCTCCTTGAGTTTGTCACGGCCACGCTGAAGCTGACGGCGCCTTTCAGTAGCTCAGCATATTGACTTGCTGGAGCATCCACTCTGGCTGCCGTGCCACTCAGCCAGTGGCTCTTTCCGCGCCGATGGCGTTGCTCAGATGGGGTAACAGCATGCCAGTAGGCTCTTGAGCATGCCAAGCCCTGTCGACCGACCAAAGGGCTTTGCATTCGACATCCAACTTTGGTGGAGCTCGGTCGCCCATGACTGCAGAGTCTTTGTGTAGGTTCATAACCACGCGATCTCGAAACCTTGAAACCATGACCGTCAGTCTTGCTCTTTTTGTGGAAGGGAAGTTCTGAGTATCATATATCTCAGTTTGCCTCATCAAGTTCCTAGGCAGTCAAGTCCCGGTTCACTGACAGTCTTGAGCTGTGTCATGAGCTGAAACGCGCCGGCAAGGCTCGTTGCATCACGGAACGGGAGCTATCTTGTCCGGAAAGGTCTGACTATTCACGCCGCTGACTTCACAGCTTGCTTAGAAGTAATCCATTTCGGCCGTAGCCATAAACCCAGCCTCTAGGCTCTGTGGACGAGTGTCAGCCTTGATCTGGAGAAGGATACATTTGACTCAGCTCAGACCGGGTCAGGAGGAGAGATATCCGGACTTACCAGAATGTTTCTTCGTAGAGCGAGCATCGCTCATCACTTTCAACTCTTCCGGGGATGAGGTTTATGAGAGGTAGATTTGACACAGGGGAAGAGTGAGAAGAAGAAACTGTGGGAGTGGGAAGTTGAAGCAACTTGATGGACTTGATAGAGACAAGTGGGCTGAATAGAGGTAGATGTGATAAAGGTAGAACAGGTTGAGGTGGGCTTGATGACAGAAAGTGAGCTCGATAGAAGAAAGAGAGCTTGATAGAAGTAAAGCAGAATCACAGAAGCAAGTGAGTGTTGGTGCTGACGATGATAATGATGATGATGATGATGAACAAGTAAAGAAAGAAGTCAACCCATGGAGATAGACCTCAACCTTGACCAGAGATGGGAGGATGATCATGGAGTTGGAAAGATGGAAGATGGTGGTTGGTGGGAGGAAGGAAGAAGGAAGAGAGAGAAACGGCGAAGAGAAGGAGAAGGAGGAGATATTTATGCCCGGGGGCGAGGGAGGGCGCAGGAGCGGATTCACCCGTCGTTGCGCAATTCACACGCATCAATGCGCTGATGCTTAACTCGTTCGGCAGTATTCCCATTGTCGGGCTCCAGGCGTTATTCACCGCCTTTTTTAGACATTAACCCGACACAGAGACCATACAATTCTTTGCGCGGCCATTGGCGATTGAATGCGCAGCCATGCGGCTCGACACGCTGGCCCGGTGTGGCTCGGGCGCGGCTGGTGAGTCAAGATGTGGGAGGGTGCACAGTCGGTCATCCGTGGAGGGAAGAAGCGGGAGGGGGCGGGTACGGGCGGGGGAAGTCCTATGTAGCAAACATATGTGAAAGATTGTGGCAGCCGCAGTGGGCAGTTGCATGCCTTGAAAGAGATGGATCCTTCATCAGTTATTTGAGTTTTTTTTCTCATACAACGGAGTTTGCAGATGCATACTTGGGACTTTCTGGTCTATACCATATGAGTTTCCCTTGATTAACTATCTAACATAAAAATGAGTCCACAGAGGCTAAAGTACTGGAACGACTGAGTGGAGAAAGAGCATATGCTATAAGCTTCCCCCCGGGGTCAGCCTTCCGGGGGTGGGTCCCCAGGGTCCTGCCTACGCCACGCTTTGCTTCCACAACGACAGACTTTGCCTACTTGAAATGGAAGAAGACAAAGGTAAACTTGAAGATGACTCCAATGACTCTCGTTTCCACGAAACCCAGAATACTCAAAGCACTAACTGGAAAACCAGCCTCAATCCCAAACTCTATCTCAGAACAGAACCATCTTAACCCACCCATCCTCCCAAATTTCCCACCCCTCACATCACGCCACAATAGTATAATTACTCGCCGTCGACCCAACAACAGTCAAATAACCGGCCTAGACACCCAGAACACATCATCAGCATGCATGCTTCTTCCAGCCACATCCCGACCAAAAGAGAAGAAAACCACCTACCCCAACAAGATAAGCCCTCGTCACCCCAATCTGCGCCGGTCCCGTCACGTCGGGCACCGTGATCGTGAAGTTCTGATACTGATCGTAGAATCCCGTCTCATACTGAGGGTCATACGGGCCGGTGTAGAGCACGTATTGCAGGTATTCGTCCGGGGAAGGGCAGGGGCGAGTGTCGGGGCAGGATTGGATGCCGATCGCGATGCCGATTTCCGTCATGGCTTGGATGTAGTCCTGTCATCGTTTGATTGTCAATCAGGGGCCTTCTGTCCGCTTGGGTAAGGTGAGGACCATGTGGGAAGAAGGCAGATAGAAAGAAAGGGAAAGGGCAGATCGTACGCCGCGAGCGACCTGGACGGTGATGGTTTCTCCAACTTGGAGTTCGGTGCCTGCTGCAGGAGAGTTTATGAAGATGCCTTGGCTCAGGGCCGTGGTGGCGAAGGTTGCGAGGGCGAGGATGCTCTTCATGGTTGCTGATATAGGTTATCAGGTTGTCTTGAATGGTGATGTTGATGAATTATCAGGCCTCTTCTGGGGAATCGATGGCCCTTATGTAGTTATTTCTAGTCCCTTAATTCGGACACATCCAGGCATGACATCGAAGCTGCATCAGCTTGCTCAATTCAACTAAATCGCTCATTTCCATCTCAGATTTGTAAGTCGACGTCAGGCACAGACAATGTCTCTGCTATATTTATCGAATTCGAGGTTGCACAATCCCGTTGGTAGAGGTTGTGAGACATCAGGCGTACCTCTCGTGTTTCGGCCAATGCGGGATGACCTCGTCGATAATTGTTTTTCCAGGTGTACATCAGGCGTGTATTACAGCTTTGCTGGCCTAAAAATGCCCTTAGAATCAGACTTGTTCTCTTCTCCAGAATGCCTCACGAACCCATACAGCGTAAGACCTACGCTTAGAAATAGTAGATGCTGCGTAGAAAATACATTACGATCTCACCTGACACGCTGAAATGAACCTCGAAAAAGCTCAGCCTCACGACCCCAGAAATTGTTCAGCGCAGCGGTAATACGAGCCTCTTGGCCAATGCTTGTCTTCGCCAAGTCAGATCAGCCCAAGGCTTGGTTGCGGATTGGATGTGGGCGCGGTCATCATGTACAGTAATTGTACAGTACATTTCGGCTACCGCGTGCTCGACGAAATTTAGACTTCGACCATAGTGACTGTGACCAGACAACAATAGACCGGGGCAGGATCACCCCTCCAACTCCTGCAACTGCGCCAATTCCCAGTACTTGCCCCGCCTCTCCATGAGTTTCCGATGCGTCCCCCTTTCGACAATTCGCCCATTTTGGAAGACCAAAATCTCATCTGCGTGCATGATCGTCTTCAAGCGATGAGCCACAGCGATGGTTGTCCGACCGGCCATTGCCTCGCGTAGGGCCTGTTGTACTTGATACTCTGAGGACGTATCTAATGCTGAAGTTGCTTCGTCTAGGAGTCTGTTTGCCTGTCAGTCCGCTCGTCTAGAATCATGCGGGAGAGCCAGAATCACGTACAGTATTTTCGGCTTCCATAGCAGGGCTTTTGCAATGGCCATCCGTTGACGTTGACCACCTGAGAGGTTGGATCCGTTTGCTATGATGGGTGTTCCGAGTCCTTGAGGAAGGGACAACTAGTATGAATGGATTAGGCGGGGAATCCAGTGACCTGGTGGTAACAGGTACTCACAACGAACTCTTCCAGCCCCACCTTGGCCAGAACAGCAAGAAGCTGCTCATCAGGGATGACTCTGTTATCACTATGAAGAGCCTCCCGGATATCTTCGCCCACAAGGCACGGGTTCTGGTCGACGAGGGCGAAGTAATGATAGTATGACACAAGATCGTACTCGTCGATCGACGCCCCATTAAGCGTAATACTACCAGAGCCAATAGAATAAAAGCGCTCAAGGAGGTTGATCACAGAGCTTTTCCCGCTTCCAGTTGCTCCAACCAGACCGATAAAGTGTCCAGCGCGCGCATTCAGACTAATACTATTCAGAGTCCAGGACGCAGAAGGGCGGGTGGGATACCTGAAGTGAACTTTCCGCAGTGCGACATCCTTGACAGTGCTTGGGGTCGGCACAGCACCTTCTGATTGAGCAAAGCTTGACCCATGCATAAGACTTTGCATCCGAGAAGCGGCCATCTGCGCGCCTGCGATGTCCGGCGCATGCGCAAAGAGAGTCGACGCCGCCTGGGATCCCCACACAATAGCCGCGAAGCAGACATAGAACTGCTGAAGAGAGTACTCTCCTGTGGCAATGAGATGGACTCCTCCATACCAGAAGACAAAAGCAATGCCCAACACACGAAAGAACGTCCCGCATGCATAGACTACGCCGGTCAAGATCCAGTATCTCTCTCGAACGTCCTGCTGGATCTGGGCGGCAAATGCCGCGCTGATGGTGCTCTGCAGCCCGAGGACGGTCACGGTTCGGACTGCGGTAAACGCCTCATGTGCGACTGCAACTGCATCGGAGTTCCGTCTGATGTATCTTTGCACATGCATCACAATGAAATACTGCACAAATCCCGACGCGGCGATGAACGGGATTATCGCTGTCGAGGCCAATCCCAGCTTCCAGCCAAAGGCACACCCGACAGTGACCCCAGTGACGAGCATGAACACGCTCTCAGCAGTCAAACCAAGGGATGTCCCTGAGATGCCGATGATCTTCTGAGCGTCGGAAGAAAGAACACTGAGAAGGGATCCGGTTGAATGAGCCTCGTCATCGAAGAACGGGAACCCCTTTGAGAGGAGGGATTCGAATAGGGAAGCGCGGGCTCGCATGTGAAGCATGGATGCAGAAGCTGCAAAACAGTATCCCCGGCCACAGTATATCGCAAAGACAAGAGCACCATGGATAAGGTACATCAGAGCCCAGAACCGGGCGGGGTGATCACCCGTACTTAGCTCAGGGTCAATGATAGAAACAATTCCATTCCCGAAGAAGATCGCGTGAAGGGGATAGCTCATGCCTGCAAGGATACTAAGAAAACCGCCAGCTACAAGATAAAGCAGTTCTGGGTCATTGAGCTTCCAAACAAATCCAAAGCTACCCCGAGGGACCTGGGTAGATGCAGAGCCATTGTTTGGCTTATGGATGATTGTACCCAATTTTGTAATGTCCCTCCCGTCTTCAGTCGACACATCCGCTGAAAACGAGTTTCTCTCATATTGCAATGCTTCCTGAGCTGGAGGTTCCGTCTTCGTGCTCTGTTGCCTGACTAAAGCTTGGTAAATGTCGCATGTGCGCATCAGTTCTGCGTGTGAGCCTTGAGCCCTGATCTGTCCATTGTGCATGACGATAATCTTGTCGGCATGCTGGATTGTGGACAGTCGATGCGCAATCACAATTGTCGTTCTCCCCGTCATCGCTGCATCTAGTGCCTTCTGGACCTCCATTTCACTCTTGCTGTCTAGGGCGGCGGTGGCTTCATCGAGAAGCAGAATCGGGGGCTGGGACACGATCGCCCGAGCGATAGCGATTCGCTGCCTTTGGCCTCCGGACAGGCCGGACCCGCCGAAGCCTAGTGCTGTATCGTAGCTATCAGGCAGGTCGGAAATGAAGGAATGTATCTGAGCAATCTTGGCTGCTTCAACAACCCGCTGCCTGATATCTGCTGCTGTTAGGCTCTTACCAAATCAATCAGTACACGATCTCCCTGGAAAAAGGTAATCTGACAGACCTGTTTCAAAGAAACATGGAGGCCGTAGGCTATGTTGTCGTGAATTGACGCTCGGAAGAGACCCACATCCTGATCGACGTATCCCATCTGGGACCTCAACCACGAGATGCTGAGCTCTTCGATGGCTTCATGATCTACCGTTATGCACCCGTTGGATGGTAGATACAATCGCTCCAGAAGACAGAGCACCGTTGACTTCCCAGATCCTGAAGCACCAACGAATGCCACTGTCTGACCTGGCAAAACGTTGAAAGTAAGGCAGTCTAATATCGTTCGATTCGGTTGGGACGGATATGCGAAGTTCACATTCTGAAATTCAATCCATCCGCGAAAGGACTTGATGGTGCGACCTGCAGAGCATGCAGAGTTTGAGGGTGATGTACGATCAATGACCGAAAGAACTCGACTGACTGCGCCATGAGCTTGAATGATAGCGGGTAGAAAAGGGAGAGCCTGGCTAAGCATTCCTCCGGCAACCGTCATTGCATACAAGATAGTCAAGGCTTCGGCGATGGTACATGCCGATTCATGAACCCGGCGATTTGCTTGCCAAATCTACACATTGGCAATCGCTAAGAGTCAGTCAATCTAAGTTGATAGGGAAGTAGGACCTACATACACCTAATCCATTTGCCCAATGAAGGACGGTGAAAGATCCGGCAACAATGGTACCGAAAATAAAACGCTCGCGACGCTCGAGCAGAATAGGACCTCGAATGATTTCCTGGTATTTGTTCGTGTATCTCTCCTGACTTCGGTACGCAAGAACAGCTCTCATGGCACCAAGCACATCTTGCGCGAGGCTGTCTGCCTTTACCCAGTTCACCTGCCCTTCCCGTTGAGTCCTGCTCATCCAGGATCCAAACCCACCTACTACAAGCATTAGAGCTAGAGGCTGGGATAGCATGATTCCCGCAAACTGAGGGTTCTGTGAGAAGGCGATAATGATGGCCACGATGAAGCCGGCGAAACCGGAGATAAGCATGCCCATTTTCTGCGAAATTCCTTCCTGGATCGCTCTTATGTCGGTGTCAATGCCAACCGTCAGCTGGCCGGACCCGACAGCATCGAAGTACTCCAGATTCTGATGTAGAGCAGCGTCGAGGTACTCTAATTGTAGTCTCGCAGTAATCTTTTCGCCGAGGCGATTGAACCCCCAGGTGCTACACAGAGTCGATAGAAGGGATCCGATAGCTTCCTAGATCTATTAGCCGACGTTCAGCCCTCGTCCGGATGGGCACTCACGGACCGATGTAAACCATCCATAGTGACAGCTGCGTGGCCGATTGTGCAATCGTGTCACTTCTCTCGGCTTCATCTGAATTGCCGCTCATAAAGTGATCGATGAATGATCCGAAAATGAGCTACACGAGTCAGCTTTAGTGTGACGCTGTGCCGATTGGGAGAATATTTACCGTCACCAAAGGAAGCGCTGCACCGGCAACCAGCGCACAAAAGACGCATATAACCAAGCCCCATCTCTCATAGCGAGTGGCATAGGTGTAGGCTGTGAATAATCCAGCTCTTCGTGATACAGAGTCAATTTGCTCCTCGATCGCTGTGCCTTGGGTCTTCCCATCCTGGAAAGAACACCGGGCAATCGGCTGGATGTCATCAAGCAAAATAGCATCAGACATTTGATTCCACCGGGTTCCAACCAATGATCGGACCTCACTGATGTTGAACCCTCAAGTCGGCCACTTATTGCTATTCCACACAATTCGACACCACAACCATTGCTGTTTCAGTCACGTGAGATGGAATAATTCATCCAGAAACTCGAATGCAAGAACTGTGTTGCTTGAAGAAAACAAGCTGATACGTCACAAAATGAGGACCGTCTCTGTGTACAGCCGGTTTGGCGCGTGTGAGTTTTGCAATGCACATTCCTCAGCAAACGCGCCCCAAGATTCGCGAAAGACACAGGATAACTCAGACTTCCTGAACATGAATTGCAAGTAGTCTCCCTCCGCATGACCCACCATTGAGCAATTGCTGCTTCCTTTGTTACAGCATGATTAATAGTGCACTGTAATAATAATCAGTGCAGTTACGTAGGTGGCTCCAGGTTGATCAAGCCAAATCGGGACGCAAGAGTAACTTAGTACTGGCTAGTGAATGCAAGATCATGGATAACATCGACCACTGCAGCTGAAGACCCGGCTGAGACCCACAGTGGTATGAAACCATCTAATTTGTCCGCCCAAAATATAATCTTGCTCTGGCACGTCAAATTGTCTGCATACTCAGGTTTCCAAGGTCTTGTCGATTTCCATCAAAGCAGAATTCAACAGTCCGACAATTTTCTCCCAGGCCCCCTCTCGTAGAGTGCATGAAAGCCACCAGTTGCCCACGGCGTCTTTCCCTATCACCCGCAGCAGATTCCTCGTTGAGTAGTACCCATCAGTGTGTTCCGCATAACCTATATACGAGGGTCGCCCCAACTGGTTGGCTCGTTTTGACAAGGGAACCCCTGGTCGGACCACGGCTGCGGAAAAATCCAGCTCGAAGAACCGGGCCTTGTGATGGTTAGTGCAGGCCATAAACACCAGATTTGACTCGCCGACGAGCGGGATTGTCTTCAACAGCGAGCGACTTTGGAGGGCCGCCAAGGCATGCACCTGCTCCTTGGTCCGGTGGCGACTCAGCGCGCGACGATTTGCCTGCGCCAATGTCCCTAGACTGCCCCCCATGATCTCCGGCACAGAACACAGGGTGTAGCAAGGGAAAATGGCGTTGCCGATGTAAGCGCTCCCGGTCGGGAACCAGTCGCGGAACAAATCCCGAATCTCGAACATGTTCATCGACATGATAGTTTGATCCGGTGACAGGTCCAATGCCCGAGTCACACTCTTCAGCCACCAAGAAAGCAACACATCACTCTCGCTGAGATAGGAAAATGCCGTGCCATCGGAGGAGGGGGTTTCCTGCAGCACCTCCTGTCGCATTCGGTCCACCAAGCGGCCAGGGATGAGGAAAAGGTGATCTTGTTGACGGTGGAACCACATGTCGAACAAATGGCGGATTCCAAATCCGACGATCCCAAGTCCCTGAAGGACCCGGTCGGCATGGATGTAGCTTGGTCCTGGAACTTCCACACCGAGCGAGGCCAGCGGGTCCTCGGACAGGTCTCGAAAGGGTGGAACTTCCCCAAGTTGGCCGCGCAGGACGGCTGTCCAGGCTCGCAGGAATGTTGAGCGCCCGACCGCGTCCATCAGCGTATGCGGGTGTGTGATTGTCAACAGGGTCGAATCATCAAACAGGACCACATGAATTCTGAGCTGCGGTAGATCGGACGAAATCCAATCCCTCAGAACTTGGGGAGAGCCATGGCCACACACTAAGGGAATGAATTCGGCCGCGCATGGGGCCAAGAAGGGTGCCTTGGATGATGATGTTCGTGGGAGACGAGACCCCAGTGGGTGATCATTGATACTCGAGGTATGCTTTGTTGTCGTGAAGATGAATGCTGATCGGGTATCGTCATACTGGGTTGGGATATGGTATTCAAGTTTTCCTTCTGACTGAAGACCAATCAGTGTTTGGCTTAGAGGCCTTTCAGTGTCAGTCAGTAGGAAGGAAAACCTACATTCAACCTCAACCGCGCTCCCAGCTGTCTCCAGTTACCTATATGAAGCAGAGTATGTAGTGCTTCACGTAGCTTCGTGATATCGAGCACATCGTCGAAGCCAAAGGTACAGTCATGAACCAATGAGCGCAAGTGTGGAATGTCATCCCAGACGCGTAGAGGGATGATTCGATCGGTCGGAAAAGTTGGGACTTGACGATGCCCAAAAAGTATTGATAGTAGACCCATCGTCAAACAAGGTGTGACGTATTTGTGAAGGATGAGATTGGCAGTATGTCTTGGTTGGACCTTGTTGAAATTATAATCGAGGAGTGGATGGTTGTGGAGGCGATGACAAAAGCAGGTACCTGGGAATAGAATCCGCTTAAGGTAGGCACTGACCGCGACGGGCAAAAGGTGCAGACAGGACTTGCCCTACTCGGTAGGCTGCAGCTACTTAGTAACTTGTACCTTAGCTATGAGTGGGACTATTCGCAAGTTCTTCTATTTCACAAACTTTGGCTATACCTCGTTCGCGAGTATCGGAAACCCATTTGAATGGCCGTCCTGAGAAGCAGATACGACATTAACCTTCCAGAACCAGGTAAACCAGACCACTATCTAGCATTTGGCATAGATAGGCTTTCAGCTCAACCCAACCAACACACCATTATCATTCTCCAGCGTCATCGATAGCCTCTCAACCCACGGTCCTGGATTGTAGTTTGTTACATGTGTAAAGGTCTGCAGTAGACGAACAACCATGTAAGAGATGAAAATCATAGCATAACGTTCTAGTCAAGGATTATCGTCAGCGCTGACCTTCGCTGGGGTATAGGCAGGTACTCACTTCCAGGACAAAGTCGGGGACCCTTGTTGAAAGGTATAAACCCGGTGACATCGGCGCTCAATGTTTCCCATCGCTCGGGTCGAAATTCCTCGGGATCCAAGCCAAAGCTGGCCTCCAGTCGGTGGCTAGACCAGGAAGAAAATACAAGAATGTCGTCCTTGCGAATCAGAACCGGTTTGCTGCCATCAAGACCGCCACCGGATGGCAGAACAGTGTGTTTGTTTGCCGTTCGCGCATTCAAGGGAGCCACTGGGAAGAATCGCATACCTGTGACGAGCCATCATAAGCAACAGAGTCAAAAAAGGTCGAAGGAGCCCATACTCTCATGGATAACATGTGTGAGGTAGGCGATCTTCATGAGCTGGTCGTAGGTAGGAGGGTTGGAACCTATCTCCCCCATTATAGTTTGTCGTAATTTTGAGACCACTCGTTCATGCCGTGACAAAAGGAAGAAGATGCCCGACAATGTAGTAGCAATGCTATCGTTAGCTAGCAAAATACTGAGAGCCTGGTTTGCCAATTGGGCGGCATCTGCTCCTTTATCTCTCAAGCCCATCATGAGATAGTATCCCTCTGCGCTATCCTGGGACTGTCCCTTCGCCACTTCCCGCTCTGCATAATCCATGATAAAGCGACGCGCCCGCGCACAGGACTGTTGGAACTCTAGTCTCGTCGAAAAATGACGCAGTGGGCCACGAAAGCCGTCACGAACGATAGTCTCCTTGATGATATGTAAGTCTTGCGCAAAGCGCTTCTTTGCCGGCGAGGGACAAGGATGCAAGGTATCGATCGAGTCCCCAAAAGCAAATCTGCTCTGGATATCAATTGCAAGACTGATGAAAAACTCCTGGATATCAAACTTCTGGCCATCGGGCGGTACACGCTGAAGGAAAGTCTGGAACTGCTGCTCAAACATCGCAAGGTCACAGATTCTGCGGTTGTTGGACATCTGGATGCGCAGCTGGTCGCGGATTGCTCGCCAGTCGGGACCATCAACCGTGAAGATTCCATGAGGTGTAATGGGATCGAACAGATGGCCCCGCAGTTTGGAACTGTCATAATCCGCGAAGTTCGTTGAGAGAATGTGTTTGATGTTAGTCGGATCGCATGTGAAGTGAATCCGGTAACCCAGAATCTGAGACATATAAGTGTTCCCATATATCTTGAACAGCCTATCCGTATACTCGAGTGCAGTTTTACTTCGGAAATGATGAGCGAATTCGAGCAGTTTTGTTACACCCAGCAAGTCCCACCGAGGGGCTTTCTCCTTGACCACATTCCCGCAAACGTACTGTTGCTCGAGCGCGTATATTTTGTGTGCTTGTCGCAGTGTTAACAGCCAAATGAGTGTGGCAAAAGCCATGACACCCAGTCGGAAAAGTTCTGGCGGCATTCCAATGGTCATAGTTGCCTGACTCATAATCCTTGGACTCAATGCTAGCTAGGCAATTCAACCGGCTGTTATCTGAGAATGGTTCCGCCGTCTGCGAGGCGTGTAGGAGCGCTCGTAAGAGGCCAGCACTGAGACCTGCAAGTAAAAGTCCTTATTGTGTCTGCACTCCGCGAGAGCGATGTAGCGACACACCAGAAATTGCAGTTATCTTGGGGTCCATGTCAATTTGGGAAAATGTAGCACGTGAGATGTTCAACATTAACATAAGCCCACTAGCCTCAGCTGCAACAAGAATCACAGAAGCAAAGAGACCAAGGACAGTACCTGTAATGCTGTAGATTTACTCAACGCATCTTTATGCAGGTTAGAGGTCAGATGCGATGCGTCTTCTCCGACCCATCACACCACTGCCCGCCAATCCCACACTAGCTATGCACAAAAGTAGCGCTAGGAGATCGGCCACTTTTGCACAACACCATTTCACGCTAACCATTCCTCTGAAGATTATTGTTCGTGGCATCCAAGTCCGTCCAATTCGTTGAGGGCTCATATCTGTTGCAGATCGCTGAGTAGCATGAGTTTATTTGTTCTTCCAGAGTCAGGCTTTTCTTTACTTCGAGTTGGTCAACCAACTGCTCATGTACATATTCGAAGAAGATACCTTGCAAGGAGAACATTGGAGCGTCTTTGCACTTCTCGTCTTTGATTGTGTGCAGATTCCATCGAGGGTAGCTGCGGGATTAAGCTCGAGTGGGTTCCTTCCTGCTCCCCATTTGTATCGAGGATTAGATCTGTTGTCCCTACCGCACCACCATTGACAGCAGCCTGTGCATCTGGCTCGAGGAAAAGAGCATCACTCTCCAAAAAAAAGCGATCGTGATCGACAAAGAACACAGAGACATAGACGATGTCCAAGACCGGGGAACTTGCTTCGCTCGTCAAGGACACACTCGATAAAGCGACCGAGTTTTCTCGCCAAACGGGGCATCCAGACGGTCACTGGTGTGGTGAGCTCAAATCCAACGCAACCATCACCTCCGAATATGTCTTTCTCCGATACGCTTTAGGCCTGGATCTGACGGTCGATAGACCTGCATACACCCGCTGGCTCCTGTCCGAGCAAAATCCGGATGGCTCGTGGGGTCTAGCTCCAGAGATTCCCGGCGATGTCTCGACCACAACAGAGGCATACCTAGCCTTGAAGATATTAGGAGAAGATGTTAACTCTGCGCCCATGCAACGAGCGAGGACGTTTGTGCTTCAGGCCGGGGGAGTGGCTGCTGTCCGGGTGTTCACACGCATTTTCTTGGCCACCTTTGGGTTGTTTCCGTGGACCGCAGTACCGCAAATCCCGGTAGAGCTCATCCTCCTGCCCTCTTCGTTGCCCATAAATGTCTTCAGATTGGCATCCTGGGCACGAGGGACGATCGCCCCATTGTTGCTTATTTGCCATCACCAGCCGGTGTATCCGTTGCCAAACGGGCAGTCGGCGAACAATGACTACCTCGACGAACTATGGAAGGACAGCACAAATAAAAACGTGCCCTATGGCAAGTCAATTTGGACCTTGGCGGCGGACTTCGACATGGCCGGTCTAGCATTCACAGTTGTCGATAAATTCTTGTATCAGCTCGGGGGGTTGCGATCGGTGCCATTCATGCGCACTTATGCGCGCCGCAAATGTGTTGAATGGGTCCTCGACCGCCAAGAAGCCTCCGGCGATTGGGGTGGAATCTTTCCTCCGATGCACGGGAGTATGTATGCTTTGCTGCTCGAAGGATACCGCCTTGATGACGAGCCGGTGCGCCTCGGTTTCGAAGCTCTGGAACGTTTCGCCTGGCAGGATGAGCAAGGCAAAAGGATCCAGGCCTGCGTGTCCCCAGTCTGGGACACAGCGCTTATGACCGTCGGGTTATGCGACGCCATGTCCACAGACAAGAGACATCTCGACCGAGCGGTCAATTGGATTCGACGTCGTCAAATCTTTGATCTGCGTGGAGACTGGCGCGTCTACCGTCCCAACCTCGCGCCCGGGGGCTTTAGTTTTGAGTACGACAACACGTGGTACCCCGATGTAGACGACACTGCAGCCATCATTCTCGCACAGATCAAACAGGACCCGACGTCAGTATCCTCTTTCTCCGTGGTGCAAGCCACCAATTGGATATTGGGGATGCAAAACCCTGATGGAGGATGGGCTGCCTTTGATGTTGGGAACGACAAGCTTTTCCTCAATAAGATCCCTTTCAGTGATATGGACAGCCTGTGCGACACCTCCTGCGCCGACATCACGGGTCGCATCCTTGAAGCATTTGGGTTGTTGATGCGAACTCCCGATAAAAGCAACACGGTCGTGCACCTCTACCCTCAGCTTCGTCTGGCTTGCCATCGTGCGATCGGCTACCTCGCCTCCACCCAAGAGCCTAATGGAAGCTGGTTTGGTCGATGGGGGTGCAATTATATTTACGGCACTTCCCACGCGCTGTGTGGTCTGGCCTACTTTATTGACGAGGATAAACGCGTTCAGAGGATGGTAGATCTTGCGAAAGAGTGGTTAAAGTCTATTCAGAATGTTGATGGTGGATGGGGCGAATCGTTACTCACGTATAAAGACCCAAGTATGACGATCAAGGGCCACAAGTCCACTGCAGCGCAGACTGCGTGGGCGCTGATGGCGCTGCTGGCATATTTGCCACATACAGATGAGATAATTGCGCGAGGCGTCAGGTACCTCGTCGGGTCTGTGGAAATTGTGTGTCGGAAGACGGGAGAATGGACGGAGAAAATCTCCACGGGAACAGGGACGGATAAAATGCACGCTGGAACGTGGACGGATAAACTGTACACAGGAACCGGATTTCCGAATCATTTCTATCTGGGATACGTGTATTACGCCCACTACTTTCCCATGATGGCGCTGGGAAGATATATGCAGAAAGCGTCGGCCCAAGGATGACGGCTCGCGCGGTGGACTGTTTTGTATCAGGCATTAGGAGTTAGTATAACGTGAACATAGTGGACCATTCCAGTTCTTTGGGCGAGACTGTAGCTGACCTAAGTCCGAAACATGAAGGAGACTTGAGAAGAGGATATCAAGGACAATCATCCTAATTCCCTACCCTGACCACCAGCCTTGCTTGGCAAAATGCACTGGAAGTCGAAGGGCATGAGGCGAGTGCGTAGCCCGAACTCGCGCATACATGCTCTCATGAAGCCATTGTTGCAACATTGGGCTGCACAGGGTAAACCAAACTTGTTTCCGAACTCTTTATCAGCATAATGTTCCGAGTCACGTCCCAGAGCATCATCGGTTTTTGTGGCCAGGCCGCGTGGCGGTTCTACATATTCAATGAGCGACTTGAGCTTCTCTTCGGCACATATTGTTCTATCTCAATTCAAATGATCAGTGACGTATATTGTCATCGATAGAAGTACTTGGTTCTGCGTCTTATGGGATGTAGAATGAATTACATACGAACCATCGAGGATAAAAGAGAGACTGTATGTCGCACTCTGCCTCCACATCACCTTCTTCTTTCAACCTGATCTTATCACAGCAACCTGTATGTGATCTAGTTGTTGAGTTTCATTCTGCCAAGCGTGCGAGTGAGACTAGGAGGTGTTCTTCGTCGATATAGTGGCGATGAGAGGCCTTTGTTTACACTCTGCGGCAGAGGGAATCTTCCGGTAGCCGTTATGGGAGCTTGTACGGAAAAGTCGAAGAAACAGACGCTTGGCTGGCTACGCCAACGTCGCCGCAGATTTGTTTCTAGTTCCTACGGAGAGGCAAATGTGACAGATTGATGAGAAGGTCAAAGACGCGCAGTCATTGCTATGATGAAAGTGCAGATGGAGGGAGGATCAAGTGAGGATTAAGTAAATGTCTGGAAGATGACATGCCAAACTGCGAGAAGGGTCGAAGAAGTTGAGTCGTTTGCAAAAGATGTTTGGGTGTATACTGTGCCTAAGGCTACGAGGCAGGAAATGTGACCAGAACCCAGGCCATCATCTCTTCCCTCCAACCTACGCCGCATCAGTAACTGCACACTCTTCCATCAAATGTACTCATTATTCTAGCTACCGACGAGCAAGCCTAATTGTCCTCAACCTACCTCTCATCGCAACCTAAATCTTATCCTTGCAAAGCCATCGAGTCTCTGTCCACGCTACCGGGAATCCTCACAACCACATCTCCCTGCCGCACCTCACAGTCACAATGAGTCTAGATACATTCCCACGCTTCGCAGAGCTTCCCACTGAGCTCCGCGACATGATCTGGGAGTACGCCCTCCCCACCGGGCCAATCGGACCCCTTCTGTTCTTCTACAAGCCAGGGCCCTGGAGCTCTCCGCGGATCCACGATCATAAATGGGAAATGGACGACTATGATTTCGCGAGGATGTTCTTTGATTCGATCGAAATCTCCGTGCCACTTTTCTTTGTCAATCGCCAAGCTCGCAGTAGAGCCAGGCGATGGATGCGCGAATACGAGGTGTACGTGCGCTACTACCCAGATACAAATTCCATTGTGACCGTTCGCCTCTTCCACAGAGCCGTCGACATCCTCTACGTACCACTGGAAAACTGGGATGACTTCCTGGATGAATGCTATTCCTTGCTAGAAGAGAGTCCGCAGAGTCTTTGGTTGACCGGAATCAGAACTGGAGTCACGCGCGTGGCTATTCCAATGGACGTCCTCGAAAATAAATAAAGACGCCTTGATCAAGATTGTGGAACTCTTTTACCCAGGTGACCAAGATATTTATTGTTGCGAATGGTCACCCTGAGGAAGTGTTCGCTCGCGGCGCAGAGCGGAATGTGCAACCGCGATGGGAGCTTCGAAAAACGGAGCATGCCATGCGCTGGGAGACATCTGGAGAGTTTTTGCGAGATGTGACTCGCGCTGAGCTGTGGTGGGAGGAGAGTTGTCGTGCCGACGAGCTGATGGTCATAGCAAGTGAAAGGCCGGAAGAAGAATTCGACAAGCACGCATCGTCGGACTGGTATCTGAGGAAAATGCTTCTGCGTGTTGTTTATGCAGTCAAGAGTAATGGATGATCAGAACATGTATTGCAAACTTCGGTGTTCTACGCGCATGGCTGACTCTGATTTTCTTTTTCTCTTCTTTGTCTCTAGTGAGAGAAGGCTTGCAAGCTGAAGCGAAACTGCGGTGTCATGTACCAAGAGTATCCCAGGTGTGTCAGTTGTGTGAGTTTTTCTACAAAAGAATGTAATATGCCTAGAATGCAGACATTTTTACCGGGGAAAACCATCCGCAAACCTGCTCGTACCAGCACCAACCAATCAACACCCCCCAGTAGCGCTCGACCCAACACAAACCTCCCCGGTACAATTGAACCCCACCGTCCCCTCCACATTCCCACACAGATACTCATCCGCCTTGGTCGAGCTTCCCGTGACCCGCAGACTCACATCCTTGACCGTGACATTCTCGCACGGGGCCACCGCACTACACTGGAGACTGATAACATCTGTCGAAGGCAGCGTGCCCGACACATCACTGAAATACAGATCGCGGACCTGGAACTTGGAGTTTGTGCAGTTCCCCGAAGCGCCCGAGAAGGTGGTGCATTGCGATACGGTGAACGGGGTGCCCTTGAGGTTGTTGAGCGACAGGCTCGTCGCCGTGACGTCGGAGATATCTAGCGAGGGTTAGCATTCAACTCACAAAGACCGGAGAGTAAAGAGACATACACCCCAGACCGCCACCCCCGCCGTTCGGCGGGTATCCGACCTGATCCCCAGTCCAGGTCTTGACGTACACGGCATGCGTGGTCTTCTGGTAGGTGCAATTGGAGACGCGAACGTTCTCCACCGTTTCGAATTCGTTGAGGTATTGGCCGATGCTGCCGATTGAGATGCCCAGGCCGGTGGAGAAGGTTGAGTCGGCGATGGTGATGTCGGTGGAGTTGCCCTTCAGACTGATGCTGTCGTCGCCGTTGACGACCTGCCAGTTGGTGAAGGTGATCCCGCTGCTGCGGATGGTGTTGGCCCCGTCGGTGTTTCCTGTTACCATCAGTTGAGGAGCACTTGATCTCGGTAGAAGGGTGAGCATACTGGAGGAACCGCCGTTATTGTTGAGGTTGTTGACGTAAATCGAATCGAAGAGCAGGTTCTCGGAGTAAATGATGGACATTGTCCTATCCCCGTCAGCCTTGGGCATTGATCTGCAAAGTTTCCTGCTGACAGACATACCACATCTGACTCTGGACAAACCTCAACCCCTTGAACGTGGATTCTTGTGCCGTGACGGTCAACTGATGCGGTCGGCGGGGGTAGTTCGACACGCCGGAAGTATAGCTATACCACACCGGTCCACTGCCATTGAACGTCCCGTAGCCGTGGCCGTCAAAGACAATATCCTTACCACCTAGGATCCAAGCAGTGGACTGATTCTGGTAGCCGACGTCTAGGGAATTGGCGAGCCAGTAGCTGATGTTTGTGCTCCACTGTGAGGGTAATTTAGTGATGCCCGTGGATAGGGTGCGAAATGCCCTACCAGAAGAGTTCCTTGGAGGTCAATCTCGACGTCATCCAGCCAGGTCGTGTTCATCACCGAGTTGATGTGGTAGGTGGTATTGCTGAAGCTCACACGCCCGCCGTTGCCGCAGGTTGTCAGAGCATCGAGGATGGCCGGCACATCATCGACAGCGGTCGAGTTTCCAGCCGGGACAACACAAGTTGCTCGCGCGCGCCCGCTCTTGGTAGTATCTGACAGACCAAATGCGGGTGCTATCAAAGAGGCAATGCCAGCAATGAAGATCAGAGCACTGGACAACATTCTGAGTTTCATACAATGGAGTTTGATTCTCTTTGCCGAATGCATGAGTTCAAGGGGCAGGAAATCAGGATGCTTTATAGGTAGTGAACAAACCATTATATTTTTGTACCTATACAATAAGTCCTTAGTCTGCGTTGAACATCGTCATGCTGACCCCTCAGACTCCGGGGTAATTCAACCCGACCCTGCCAAAACTCGGTTCCGTGATAGGTGCAATTTCCGATCCAGTTTCTCCACGATCTGCAGCGCCACTGAGGGCTGAGAGAAGCATTCCCCAGCTTTTCTCGGTACATTCAGGGCGGCTAATGCCCCACCCCCGGCGGGATTTAAGGTAATTCGTGGGGTTGATGGGGTCGTGCCTGAGCCCCGCATAAGCGACTGCGAGACATGGACGGGGTGCAGCTCTTGGCATGCTGGGCATGGGCTGACGATATGACGTGAACTGGATCCCTACTTCGTTTCTTGATGACTTGTGCATTTCGGATTACCCGATCCACTCGACGCGCTTTTAATACTGTCGCCGCCTCAATAGACCATCTGTCAAAAGCCGGGCGAATATCGGTCCACAACGGCGAAGGGATTACTGCGATTCTTTCTTCCTACTTGACGACGAGGACATTCTCAATGTATGTACTAAAGCAGAGAGGCGGAGTGGGTCGCCAGAATCCTTGACAGCGACTCCGCGACTTTGCTTGACACCTTCTCCACTGGAGCTCTTCGGCAGATAAAGCGAAAGGATCTAAGCGTTTCATGTTTCCAGCAAAATATACTCTGTATTCATACAATACTCATAGCAAGATAGTTCAAAGTTCGAGTAGGTCTTCTCAACGTGACGATTTCACCATTCCAGTGTCACCTCTCCACTCTTGCGAAGACAGTCATTAGAGAATGCCCGCAGACTTTGTCTAAATTCGATTCTGCAAATTGGGCCACAAAGATACTCCGTGCTGTAAAGTGGATCAAAAATGGCGCCTCCTTCTCAGAAAGCTAAGTCCTAGCATGGAAGAGGGATACCCAACACTATCTCCAAATTCGCCTAAGCACACATCAATTCATTTCGAAATCTCGAAATTCCAGCTATTCTGGACACCAACCGAGTCCGCATCAAAATCCATTCTATCTGCAATGGCATCAATCCGTGACTCACCACGAATCATAACTGCACGATGAGCGGTGAAGCAAGATACCGAGCCCCCACTATCTCGACAGGGTCTGCAACTCAAATTCCATCTACAAATCATACGATATCGCCCATCCCATCAGAACCCCATCCGCACCACGGACCGCGGAGAAAGCGAAGCGTCTGGGAAAAGCGGATCTCGCCCGAGTCCCAACCCTACGAACAGCCAACCACGCCGTCGGAAATTATCACCCTGCGGGACCAAAGAACCCGGTATCGGCTCCGAAACATTATCTGATCGGCAACCGCCGTCCATCTAGCTCTGATTAGGGCTGGCCGCGACAGCGCCGGCGCCAGGCCCCGCCTGAAGATAAAGGCCCCCCAAAAAATTCTTAAGGATGCTTGCTCGCACATAGACGTTGGACACGAGGGCTACATGTTCGTCCGACACGTACACAAAACATGTCACTCGATCCATCAACAACAGCGGGGGCAGATGGCCCGGCCAGCCAAGCTCCAGCCGTCGTCTCCAGCGTCAAAGAAGGCGAAGCGGTGATCGCAGACCGTGAACTGGAAAGCGGCCCACACAAGCCGTACCGGCCCACCCGATGGCAGAGCAACCTGACCATCATCAGCTGCGTACGTCCACTGCTGTTTACTCGATGCAATGCAATAGCATTCTAATCCGTGTGTGATAGTACATCGCCAACTTCAGCGACGGGTTCCAGAACCAACTGGCCAACCCCACCAATGTCATCTTCACCCACCTGCTGGGGAAATCCGGGTACCCGGCCGAGATGAAGACGCGGATCAGCAACTCGCTGATCATCGGGGCCATTCTGGGGGTGCTGGCGCTGGGGTACGTCTCCGACATGATCTCCCGCCGGGCGGGGCTGCTCTTCACCTCGGGGCTGGTGACCATCAGCACCCTGATGGCCGCCGTGGCGCTGGATGTGCACCCTTCCCCCAACATGCTGTGGTACTTTGTCATTGTGCGGGGGATCTGTGGATTTGGCGTTGGGGGCGAATACCCTCCCAGCGCTGCTGCCGGCCTCGAGGAATCCGACGACGTGAGTTCTCTCTCTGCAACAACAACAACATCAACAGCAGCTGTATAGCTTATGTATTGGAACTAACCGTACCCCCAGTTCAACCGCCGCTACCGCGGCCCGGTCTTCGTCTCCTTCACGACCCTAATGGCGACGCTGGCCGCCCCAATCCTGATGATCATCTACCTGATCACGCTGAAAGCGAGCGACAACAACCTGCCCGTGACCTTCCACGCGCTCTACGCGATCGCGACGATCATCCCGGCGACGATCATGGTGCTGCGCTTCTTCATGACGGACTCGACGCTGTACCACCACAGCAACTTCAAGCGGCAGCGCCGCAAGCCGCTGCGGTTCTACTGGCTGCTGGCGCGGCGGTACTGGCGGCGGCTGGCGCTGACCTCGCTGGCGTTCTTTCTGTACGACTTCATCAACTTCCCCAACAGCATCATGTCGAGCAGCATCATCGCCTCGATGGTGACGGACGGCGACCTGCAGACCACCGCCGTGTGGCAGGTCATCCTGGCGGTGCTGCCGGTACCCGGCGTGCTGGTGGGCGCGTACCTGACCAACGCGATCGGGCGCCGCTGGACGGGCATCGCCGGGTTCGCCGGGTATGTGGTGCTGGGGTTCATTATCGGGGGCTGCTATACGCTGTTGTCGCGGCATATCGCCGCGTTTGTCGTGCTGTACGGCCTGCTGCAGGCCTTCGGCCACATGGGCCCCGGCGCGACGATCGGGCTGATCAGTAGCGAGTCGTTCCCCACCGCCATGCGCGGCATGGGGTACAGTATCGCGACGGCGTTCGGGCGCACCGGCGCCGCGGTCGGCACGGAGTGTTTCACTCCGTTGCAGACGGCGGCGGGCGATAGTGCTACGTTCTATCTGCTGGCGGGTGTGGCGGTGCTGGGGATGGTTGTGTATTGGTTCCTGCCGGAGAGTGGGGAGTTGGATCTCGAGGCCGAGGATCGCGAGTTGGAGAGGTACATGGGGATGCATGGGTTTATGATGGAGAAGAGTCAGTAGGGGGTGCGGGGGAGGGTGCTCGTTGAATATAAGCTAGAGCTAGATTACGATCAGTCATGTTATGATGATTATGAGAGATGTTACAGCAGGAAAGATGGAGTTGATGTTGATACACATGTACTGTACAGTCATTGTGGCATATACTACAATACAGCAACTCAATTCAATTCAAGCACAACAAACACATTTATTCGTACATTACATCCATCCCAAGCAAAAGCACACTTAAAAGGTATCTCAGCACACATCCCCCCCCCCCATCAATTAATCGTATATCGCATCACCTAAGCCTCTCCTAATCCATTAGCACAGTCCCTAAATCACCCCAGCAAGGATCACCAAGCCAGACTTACCACTCATGAAGTACTTTCAACTAACCCCGAGCAACTCACCACCTCCCCCCGCGCCCACCAAACCCACCCCCACCGCCACGACGGCCACGACGACCACCACCGAACCCCCCTGGTCCGCCGCCACCACCACCCCACCCGCCAGGACCCCCAGGACCCCCGAACCCACCACCACCATAGTGATGATGATGACGACCACCACCGAACCCACCGCCGCCGCCCATCGGCATCCCACCGCCCCCGAATCCTCCAACCGGTCGAACCGGAGGCCCGCCCATCCCGCCGCTCATCATTCCACCGCCCCGACGGCGGCGGTTGCCCATGAGAGACATGCAGGTTCCCATGTTTGTTCTCTGGTAGAAGGAGGTATATATCGCGGTCGTTCTAGCTTCTAATAGCAGAATTGTAGGAGGAGGAGGAGGAGGAGGAGGAGGAGGTAAAGCTTCGTGAATCGTCTAGTATCAAGCGATCAAAGAGGAGGCAAAGGATCTCGTAATTCCTTGCAGAATGTGCAGAGTCTATCGGCGGTGATGTGCAAAGTATAATCTCAGTGCAGCTCGCAGAAAAAGAATCTCGTAAACAACAGATCCCGAAAAGAGGTATATGTAGGGATTTTCTTGTTCCCAAGAGAACAAAAACCTTCAAGGTTAAATACCTCATCCCCCGCGGGCGAAAAAGAGTATTACGCGCGGCCTGGTTCCTGGGCGTGCGAAGTCGTTGCGTCATCGGCGCGGCGCAGTCCCCAGGCGATACTCGGGGTGGGTGTTGAGTGGGTGGGTGGGTGACATCAGCGGGACACCACAGTCGCCCTGTAGGGCTGGCTGGGCTGGCGCGGGCTTTAATCCGGTTAACCTTATCTTTCTCTGCCCCCGTGGGTCTTTTCATCCACAGACTTGGCACAAAGGGATGGGGGAGTTCAAGGTGGAAGTATGGTATGACGACAACCGGAGTAGGTTTCATTTGGCCGATCATTATTCTTCCGGTAGGGTAAGGTGCAATACGATACTAATAAATGTACTTGAACTCCAACTCCGCATCCCCGGATTGCACCCGCCGCTGGTCCTCCATCTTCCCCTCCAAGATCTCCGCCTTGACCCGGTTCTCCTGGCGCAGATACAGCGCATGCGCCGTCACCACCCCTTGCGCGACAATCAACGCACCCATCGAGAACGAGTTGCCCAGCACGTACGGCGACGACCGGTACACCTGGCCCGCCACGATGCCCGCGCAGTTGCCGACCGTCTGCTGGAGGCCGACGGCCAGGGCGCGCCGGTACTGCGGGGCGAAGTTCACGTTCAGCCACGCCACGTTCAGCCCGACCCCCGTGTACACCGCCACGCCGCAGAGGTAGGTGGCGAAGTATTTGACCGGGTCGGAGGGAACGGCCAACAACAGGATGTAGCCCACGATGCCGAAAATGTTGGTTCCGACAATGAACTGTTGACGGAATCTGGTCAGCTTTATATCAAAGAATCCTTAATGCTGGGGAGATGCATACGACAGCGAATTTCGAGTACCGATCCGCAAAAAACGCGACCGTGACAGATACTGCGGCGGCCCAGATGTACACCGGGACGGTGAGCACGTTGCTCATCAACGAGTTGTAGCCCAGACTTCCGAGGATGGTCGGTAAGAACGTGCTGAACCCGTAGAGCAGGATGTCCTGGCAGAATTGCGTGATGGCGCTAAAGATCAGTTTGGGGTCCCGCAGGGCCAGTCGCATCTCCTCCCAGCTGAAGTGGTCGCTTCCCATGTATTTCTGGCGCTGAGCGTTGCGGACACGCATCATGTACCGCTCTTCTTCAGTGAGGAAGTAGGCGGTTGTCGGGTCGTTGGGGAGGCCAAACCAGATGAGCAGCGCACAGATGATGCTGAAAAGGCCCTCGATAATGTAGACCCATCTATTTTTTTGGTTGTCAGTTGCCTTACACTAGGGCCAAGAAGACAGCGTATCAGGGGGGGGGGGGGGGGAATACCTCCAACCAGCTTTCCCTGCAACACCGTCCATGTGCAGTAATGCGTAGGCTAGTAAGCCTCCTACTGCACCAGAAATGGCAGCGCAGCTCATCAGGTACGAGACTCGCTTAGCTTGCTCCTCGCGCCGGTAGACCATGGTCAGGTATAGGTTCAGACAAGGGAAAAGACCCGCTTCGCAGGCTCCGAGGATAAGACGGGTGGCGTAGAGAGAGGCGACATTGTGAATAAAGCCAGTGAAGACGGTGGTGATGGACCAGACGATGCACAAGCCCGTGAGGATGTTGCGGGGGGTCAGCTTCTTCATCGCGACCGCCCATGGCGACTCAAGCAGGACGTAAGTGGCGTAGAAGATCGAGACAGCGATAGAGAACTCGTTGGTCGAGGCCCCAATGTCCTCGGGCATTCCGGCTACTTTGACATTTCCTGAGGACCTTTAGTAAGATAAAGACACTCGTCTGGGTCAGCACACACCAATGTTGCTCCGGTCGAGGAAACAGGACAAATAGGTCAACATGATGATAGGCACGAAAGCAAGGTCCAGCTTCAGGAGAAGCTTTTTCTCCTTGACTGAATCCAGCACTACATCGTCGATATCGCCCACATCGGTGTCCTCGGTGGTGTTCTGCGGGGGTGGTTTCTGGACCGTCTGTTTACGGTCCAGAGGGATATCATCCGCACGTTCGAAGGACATTAGTGTCACAAATGGATAGAAATTGATGGCCCTAGACAGCTGTCACTCCGACCTGGAACACTCAAGGGGGTGCCAGGGGCGACATTAAGAACCGTGGAAACATCAAGGCCCTGGTACTTGTCAGAGTGACATAGATCCCCGGCGATAAGGAAGGGGAAAGAGGGGAGTCTCCAAACCGGCTATCTCCAACCCGGTACGCCAATCACCGGCAATTGACAAAAGCATTCACCAGGGTTACACCTGCATCGGCCCGATAGTCTGATAAGCGGTGGAGATAGCGAGGATGTCATTGGTGCAGTGCCTCGAGACGATGGGGTTGTGATGCGGGGATCGACTGATGCTTATCATCGCCATCCCGCATATCGGAGCCCACATGCCGATACCACTGATATGGGGTATTCACTTTCGAGCAGGACTACCAATTGATTGCATAACATTATATCAACAGCAGAACCTTACACAGACAAAACAGCTGGATTGACACTCCCAAGCTTCTACTCACAAACGAAAGCACAATGACAAAAGACACCCTCCCAAGCCACCAAACCCGCCTCGCCAGCCGCGCCAACCAAATAACCAACACCTCCGGCCTGGCCCCAGGCCACCTGCAAGCCAACCTCCTAATCCTCCCCGCCCGCTACAGCCAAGACTTCCACCAACTCTGCCTCCGCAACCCGGTCGCCTGCCCCCTCCTCGGCATTTCCCACCAACCAGGCAACCCCCACCACATCCAGCCCGAAGGCTGCATCACCGTGACCGGCCCAGAGGACTTCGACATCCGCACCGACTGCCCCCTCTACCGCATCTACAAGCACGGCAAACCCATCGCCACGCACCAGACGACCCTCCTCCCCTTCTGGCCGGACCCATCCCCTCAGCCCGCACAGCATGAAGCATACGTATCCTTCCTGATCGGCTGCTCCTACTCCTTCGAATCCGCCCTCACCGCCGCCGCCCTGCCCCCGCGCCACCAGACCACCCAAACCCTCGTCCCCATGTACCGCACCACCATCCCGCTCCTCCCCGCGGGCATTTTTACGGGTGGACGCACCGTCGTCTCCATGCGTCCGTACCCGGCCCACGAAGTGGAGCGGGTCCGCGCCCTGACGCGGCCGTTCCTGGCCACCCACGGCGAGCCGGTCGATTGGGGGTGGGAGGCGCTCTCCCGGTTGGGGATTGGGGATCTGCAGGCGCCCGACTTTGGGGAGCCGGTGCCCCTGGAAGAGGGGGAGGTGCCGGTTTTCTGGGTGCGTATTTTCTTTTCTTCCTTGATTGCCATGTTGATTATACGTTATTTCCCCCGGGGAAGTGCGGGCGGGGGATGTGGGGCCTTACGAGGGGGCGTGGGGAAGTTTGGTTGGGGTTGTGGGCTGGGTTTCATTGCTAATCTGTCATGTCATGTCAATACTGTAGGCTTGCGGGGTTACGCCGCAGTTGGCGGTGGAGGCTGCCGGGGAGAAAATCGAGGGATTGGTGTTTGCGCATGAGCCGGGCCATATGTTGGTGACGGATTGGAGGGAGGAGGATTTGGCGAGGTTGGGGCGGGGGTTGGGGGTTTGAACAGGTATAAGTCGAGGTGGGTTGGGAGGATTATGCTAACTACTAGGAGGTCAGGCTGCTGCTTATGACAGAGGAGGGAAGATTCGTTCAATGACATGACTCAACCTCTATGACACAGTTCTCAGTTCATCAATATACTAGCAACATCACTGCCGTCGTCAACCACCTTTTGGTTCACACCCATCACTTCCTCATCATTACACATCCCAACCACGGCCGTTATACAGGCATGTTATATACTTCATTCCTCAATCCACACCCCGTCCACCAACAATCTCACTTCTCCCTCTCCTCTCCCGTAGTTCCCAGCACCTCCTCGATCTCCAAACTGAACCTCGCAAACTGGCTCCGAGCCCGGATCCGCTCCCCATAGCACATGAACAACACGGGCACGGCACAGAATCCCGTCGCCAGGGCCGCCAGCACCGAGACCGCGACATTGGCCCCCATTCCATCGAACATTTGCCGGGTGAACAGCGGGAACGCCCCGGAGGCCATCGCCCTCAGGAACTGGACGGCTGCCGTTCCGCTCGCCGCGTAACTCAGGTAACTGTCGGACAGGTACCCGTATAGAACGGTGTCGAATTCGTTGAGCGCAAACCCCATCATGACCAAGGCGATGGTCGGGACAATCCAGGGGAGATCGCTGATCCGCGGCGGGATCGTCCAGGCAAACCACCAGAGCGCCAGGGCGAAGACGGGCGCGCCAATCACCAGTCCGTACAGTTTGTCTTCGGGCTTCACAGGCTGCTTCGCGGCCTTGCGGGCATCGAAGATGCGATGATCCAGAAACCGCGTGAAGGTGCTGAAGACTACCCCCACTCCGATTGCCACGAAAGCAAGGCACGACTGGGCCGAGGTGTAGCCCATTGACTCGTAGATGGGCTGCAGGGCTTCGGTGAAGATGTAGACCAGGGAGAAGGAGAAGGCAATCATGATGGCCACGATGAAGATAAGCAGCTCGCCGAAGAAGAGCTGCAGGGGGCGGAACAGGGAAACGCGGACGAATGTTCGGAAATTCGGGGTGTGGTCGGGATTGAGCGGCTGTAGGGTCTCGTTGCCAGTCTCGTGGCGGATTCGCGCGACTTCGCGGGAAAGGAGGAGGGATGGACGGGATTCTTTGATGACGAAAAAGAACGCGGTAAGGACGGCGAATATGACGGCGTAAATGTAGAATACCCAGCGCCTAGAATGATTGGGGATGTCAGTCAATAGTGCTATAGGTGTGATGCAGACAACGAAGCATACCATTCCATGTGGGCAGAGATGTATGTACTCATGATGGGCCCAAGCAGTAAGCCCACGTTAGACGCAATGGTCCAGATGAAGATCACCCATATCCTGGCCCGCGAATCGAACATCTCCTCAATGCTGCCTCCGCCAACAGTGTAGGGTACCGCCGAGAGACATCCCGCAATGATACGCGCCGGGATCACCGCACCCAGCGAATGCGTCATCCCAATAACCAAGCAGCATACTGCACTTCCCGCAGAACTTATGATGTAAAGGTTTTTGCGGCCAAAGGACTCCGACCAGGGTGGAAATATGACAGCTCCGAATATCTGACCCACGAGAAATCTGTCTTGTCAGTATCATCGACACAGCCCTAGCCGTAGAGCGAATCTCTTACAGTGTGACGAAGATGAATGTTGCAAGAGTATTTCCGATATGATAGTCACCTTGAGCCTTTTGAGCCGCCAATGTCTAGACACGTTAGAAACGTCCGACAATACACAACGGGGCAGGGGGGGGGGAGGAATTACTCCGGCTGTGCTTGTGGCAGTCCTATTAGCTGTTAGCGATTGTCCGTTTTTGCTCATACATAGCGGTAACCATACGTGAATGTATCCAGAAGAAAGATGATACTACTATCAAAGGTCTTCCTGCTGGTCGGCCAGTTGCGAGGCTGCTTCTTGTTATACTTGCTCCAGCGGACGTACTGGCCGTCGGCTGTGAGCTCAAGTTGGTTCTTGAGCAAGTACTCGTCCATCGCAATAGACTCGGAGACTATGGCTGTCGATTCTGTCTTCATTTTATCGGATGTAATTGCCTGGGGAAAGCGTCAAAGCCAGGGAAACATATAGATAGACCTTTCACGGGGAGAATATCCCGGGCCATGCCTGGTGGAGGCTACAGCAGCTACTGCATTTCTCACGGCCAGCCATGCTGGAGAGATCGACACAGCTGCCAAGTCGACTCCCCCTTGTTGGCGATGCTGGACGTCATGACCGCGTGTATCTTCCGAGGTCAAGGTGATGTGATAGGCCACGCCTGTCATGACCACAGAGGGAAATCGTCCTCCTGAGATTGAGGAGCCAGGTGATCATCATGGAGCTTCGAAGAGGTTGCTCTTGAAGGTCGACTAAGCTTGTCTGCGACTTGGAGGGGCGAGCAAGGGATGAGGGACCGACGTCTGATATGCAGGGCATTAGTCGATGCGACCATCTTCCTTCATAGATCATATGAAGTGTGTTTTCGATGTAGCTCTGGGGAATGCCCCGTCTCTCGAACCATACAAGGCATTCTCAGACAGATACAGCATCCTAATTGAAGTTCAATGTCCATGAACTCAGTATCTTCACCTCTCAGATGAAGTGGTAAATCTAACGGGTTGAGAAATCAGCGGAGGTGGAAGAACATTCCACACCGGATGATGCCTGGGGCTCCCTTCCCTCTTTAGCTTCCTCCAACGCAAGGGGTGCACCAAGATGACGAATAGGGCGCGTACAATGCATCTGCTCGGAAGATTTTCTATTGCCAGATTCAGGCAGTCTCTCCTATAGTTTCCTTGAATCAGCTTCTGATGCATGGCTTGTCCCTCCCTTGGCCCAGAAGTTCTTCGGTGATCCTAATTGACCGTGAGCCCGCCATACCTCGGACGCACGACCACCTGCAGTTTCCGCATGATGTGCATAGTATGACATAGTTACCTAGTATTCATCATTACAAATCCGAGCTGTTACATGCAGTAAATGAGTCCGTGAACGGATCATTTGAAAATTCCGATGTCCCTTGCAATTATGCTTCTGATTCATTGGTTCCATGAAGGATATAGTATCTACACAGTCGATGACCAAGACCTCCTCTGAAGCACCCTAATTCTACGCTAAGGGAATGGCACGCCTATCATCACAAGCCAATCGACGACAATTATCCAATTGTTCGAGCTAGGGAAACTTGCTTTCTTACGGCAGTACGGATATATCATGCTACAGAGAGGCCCAGCATCCTGGACAAATCCAGTTCTCCGAAGACGGAGATACCGCTCCCGAACCCCGTCTCCGCCCCGAAACTCATCTCCGTTCATCAAAGCTACAATCTTAATGAATCTTGGGGCCTGCATCCCCAGCCTATTAGGGGTCACCTCGTATAGCCCACCTGCACCCAAAGCCAATCACCAGGCTGAACCACGGAACCCCCGATCATCGGATCGGATCAGATAAGATGTCCGGTCACAACAGTGGGGAGTAGAACGGTAGGTAGTATTTTAGATCAGCTCATTCGGAGCAACCGAATCCTTTTGTCCTGTATTAGGAGACCGTAGAGACCGTACATATACGTCCCCATTCACCAGTTCATTGTCCCCAGAGACCACAACAGGGGAAACTTGACTTCTCACCCGACACCCAACCACCACTGACTCCACAAAAGAACAAGCACCACACTATTAATCCCAAACACTGGCAGTGACGAAACACCCACAAAAATGCTCCGCACCCTCCTCCTCATCCTCAAAGCCCTGCACCTAACCCTCCATCAAGTCACCACCCACATCGCCCTCGCGCTTACCCCGTGCCTCCACCGCCTAACCTATCGCACCGTCCGGGACCCGAAGAACATCGTCGTCATCGGCGCCTCCTTCGCCGGCTACCACGCCGCCCGGGTTCTCGCCTCCACCCTCCCGACGGGCTACCGCGTTGTCGTCATCGAGCGGAACTCCCATTTCCAACTCACGTGGGTCCTGCCTCGGTTCTGTGTTGTGGCGGGCCACGAACACAAGGCTTTCATCCCCTACAGGGGGTATCTTGCGCCCGTGGCGGAGGGGGCGTATACATGGATCACTGGGGCGGTTGGGAGGATTGTTCTCGAGACTGGTGCGGGAGAGGGGAAAGTCGTGCTGGAGGAGTCGGGCGAGGAGATTGCGTTTAAGTATTTGGTTGTGACGACGGGGGCAGTGGCTGCGGGGTTACCGTCGCGGGTTGGTGGGAGGACAAAAGAAGAGGGGATGGTGATGCTGAGAGGCGAGCAGGAGAGGATTCGGACCGCGCGGGATGTGGTGGTGCTTGGGGGTGGCGCGGCGGGTGTGGAGATGGCCGGGGATGTGAAGGAGCGGTATCCCGAAAAGAATGTTACGTTGGTGCACTCGAGGGAGAGGTTGTTGAATCGAGGGTATGGGGAAGGGTTGAGTCGGAGCGCGTTGGATGGGTTGCAGGCGCTGGGGGTGAAGGTGTTGTTGGGGGAGAGGGTGGTGATGGACGACCAGCCGGAGCGAATGGAAGAGGTCAAGTTGGAGTCAGGTCAAGTGGTGAAGTGTGATTGCTTGGTAGGTTGGGCGTGTGTACTCTTGAGCGAGGAGCTGGCTGACGGTTGTAGATCAAATGCGTCGGGCAAAGGCCAAACTCAGGCTTGGTGGCAGAGGTGTCGCCTTCGTCCATCGCTGAGTCAGGGCACATCCGCGTCCGCCCTACGTTGCAGCTTGTGGATAAGGCCTGCAGTCGGATATACGCAGCTGGAGATGTGGTTGAGGTGGATGCGGTGCAAAATGCTCGTGGCGCATTTCAGCAGGCGGAGGTGGTTGCAAAGAACATCGTGCGAGCAATCAAGGGCAAGACTCTTGTCGAGTACCATCCAAAGTGGTGGGAAGGTGCGACAAAGTTGACGCTTGGTCTGGTGAGTAGGCGTCTTCACTATCAGCAGGCGAGGCTGACGATGTGCAGAAGAAGAGTGTGATGTACGTGAGTGACGGGTCGGCCGAGTTGATTCTTTCCACCAAGGGCAAAGAGGAGCTGGACAGTGCCCGCGTCTGGAAGTTCTTCGGGCTGAAGCCTTTCATCGATACTCAAGAAGAGAAGAGCACCTGAGAGAGGCTCTTTTGTTTTCAGCATATTTTATGCAATGCAAATCTCGTGCCATCTTCCTCTAAGCATGGACGCTCATTCTCAGCCAGTCCACTGGAGCCCGCCGCCGAAGCTGAACGTGTGGCGAACGTTAACAAGCAGCGCAGCATTTGCTGATGATGGTAGCCTCTTTCTTCTTCGACTTGTCTTGCTTTTCCCCCGCGCAACAAAAATTCTTTCTCAAAGCATCAACAAGCACAAGATACAGCCCAGCAGAAGTTCAAGCATTTCTGGGCCATGTGGAGCGACCAGTGTTATGCAAGCTTCCCATCTCGCCTTCAGTGACGAGGTCGACAGGCGCTTCTTGACAAGATTTGTGATTTTGGATCGCTTCAAAGGGGCCATTTTGCGTATCCGATTTGCTCGATGAGACGGGCTCAAGTGGTATCTCTGGATTTGCTATTGTCCAAGAAAGTGTTGTTGTATCAGAGAAAGTATCATCAGCCCTGACCGGGAAGTTGATGGTAGACATTGCAGTGTGAGTCAGTTTGTGCTGGTGTCAACATGGCGGGCAATTCTGACATCAAGAATAGGTTGCGACTTGACATTTTGTGATCATCATGCCGTACTTGCGGAAGTCGTAGACCCATTGCACATTGCATCATTTAGAATCGGTTCTCCTAGCCTGTTTGATGGAAACCCCCACAGAGCTCGACGTATGAATACCGCATTATCTTTGCTTCTCTGCCGCCTCCCCTCCGCCCAGTGACCACCCCAGCTATAGAAAGTAAAGAGGCAGCATGCGCGTTGGTTGCTATTTCTAAACCATGAGATATGCTCATTTTCTAGTCATCCAAGCGTCAAGCACGTGAGCTTGACGCTGATGTAGTAAGAGCAGCTTTAAAAGAGCTGTCTTACCTTGCACGCTGTGCGGCAACTAAGGTGGCCGTCACGGGTCCATTTTGCCCCGCCTGACCGCGACGATAAGCAGGCTGTATATTTAGTGTGATTCAGTGAAACTCGTCAAGACGCTGATGCCTAGATACCCAAGCGAATGAGGCGCCGCATGTTATACGAGTCAGCTTTAACCTAACTTGGGAAAAGGTCTTCTTTGTCCGAATCCTTCCTCTTGAATATGAAAATGCTTTCCTGCTCGCTGCAGGCAGCCTCATGCTGTTTTCTTCTTGCCCTCACATCAATGTTTGCAAATATCCCTACTGCATGAAACTAAATCTTCCATGGCAGACACTCCAGAGGTGTTCGAATTCACCGCGCAGAGACGCTTCCATCAGCGATTCATTCTCCCCGCGACAGCAGATCATGGCCCTTTGGCTGTGACATATGCTGATGTTGGGCCGCGTCAGCACGAAGACGGAGCTCCGGTACCTACGATTTTAGCCGTTCCTGGTATGGCAGGGAGCCGACTATGGCTTTATCACAAAGACCACTTAGCAAATGTGATCGGAGTCAGAATACTATCCATCGATCGGTAAGTGGCTCGCTCGTATTCATTATTTATTCGGAATCGGATGCAAGTTAAGTTACCGGACTAAGAATAACAGCCCGGGGCTGGGCGGATCAACGCCTGTTCCAATCGAGAAGCGAGTCTCTGTCTGGCTAGAAACTGTGACAGCGCTGGTGGACTATCTGTCAATCTCGCATGTGGTGCCTGTTTCGCACAGCGCGGGCACCATTTACCTGTTGAATTTGCTTGTGCACAAGAGAGATTTGCTATGGCCTCAGACACCAATCGCAATGCTTCTCGGTGAGTGGCAGTGACTACGATAGCACCTTATACGTTTTTGCTAACCGATCGGTCAGCACCCTGGGTCGAGCCCAAGCATTCCGATGTGTTGTCTATGCAGATGGCTCAGATGCTTCCTAAGGCGGTGCTTAATCAGTGGAACAAACTTATTGGATTCACCTTGACTAAGGCAACACCTGCTTTTGGTGCCAGTTCAGGCATCCTGACGAATATGTCTTCCAGCTTACCCGGAATAGGCAAGAGCCTTGATCCCGAAGAAGCTGACGATTGTCTTACCACATACGGAATGCCTGTAGAAGCTGTGGAGAAGCTAGAGAAGATCACCATGGAGTACATGTTTACCGAAAGCTCCACCGGCATCAATGATGAGGCGATGATCTGTCTGAAGAAAGGGCCGCTGGGGCTGTGGGGGGCTTGTGAGGATCTCCCGGCTTATGTCCGGCAATTGGGGCAGTTGGAACAGGATCACAAGCAGCAGCATCCACAAGAGGCGCCCCTGCGTTTGAAAGCTATTTTTGCGGACAAAGATAGTATGATCGGCTCCAAAGGGCAGCAGTACTTTGTGCAGTGCTTTACGCGTGCCGAATTGGGATGTGGTGTGGCTTTCGAATCCGTGGTAATGCCGGGGACCGACCACGATTCTATTTGGTCAACGCGGACAGGAGTGTTGGGGAAACTCATGTGGGACATCAAGGAAATCGCGCAGTAAATGCCGCAGGAAATCATGAGAGTTTCTCGTGTCTCAAGGAGTGCCCTGCGATAACATCAATTAATAATGCATCCGTGCTCACGGCATTTGTCAGCAGCTCCTTCGACACTTCTCTGACGCCATCTTGTAAAGCTTGCTGGGTGCAAGTATAAGAAGCTTCCCATTGTCCAAGCCTACCATGGCATCCGATTCACTCACCAGATTCAATTGTTTGTGCCTGCCAAAGCCATCATGAGCCCCTCTACTCTCGTGGTCAAAGCCGACCACCTTCCCTACTACACTCCCGCCAATAATGCCGGCGCTGCCGTTCAACCCCGCGATGCCGCCACGCCGACCCTCTTCCGCCCGTTGACGATCCGCGACGTGACCCTCAAGAACCGTGTCGTGGTTTCGCCCATGTGCATGTATTCCGCTGAACCCGATCTGTCCTCTCCTCTTGTTGGCGCCCTAACCGATTATCACGTCGCCCACCTGGGCCATTTCGCCCTTAAAGGCGCCGGTCTAGTTTTCGTTGAAGCGAGCGCCGTGCAACCGAACGGTCGCATTTCCCCTAATGATGTCGGATTGTGGGACACAGCCCCGAAGTCGGAGCAAGTCAAGGCTCTCGAGCGGGTTGTACGCTTCTGCCACGCTCAGGGCGCCAAGGTCGCGGTGCAATTGGCCCACGCCGGACGCAAGGCCAGCACGACGGCTCCTTGGTTAGCCACGAAGGCCGGGAAGCCAACCTTGAAGTCGGACGAGGACGCATTCGGATGGCCTTCTGATATTGTCGGGCCATCAGGTGGGAAGGAACATATCTGGGACGGCACAGGCGAGGGATACTGGACGCCACGGGCGCTGAGCACCGAGGAGATTGACGAGGTGGTCAAGGCCTTTGCCAGAAGCGCTGAGGCGGCCGTCCGAGCTGGTGTGGATGTCATTGAAATTCACGCAGCGCATGGGTATCTTCTCAACCAATTCCTGAGTCCGGTTACCAATAAGCGGACGGACAAGTATGGTGGGAGCTTCGAGAATCGCACCCGACTTCTGCGGGAGGTCGCGAGGGCTATTCGAGCGGCGATTCCCAGCGGCACCCCACTGTTTGTGCGTGTGAGCGCGGTCGAGTGGCTGGATGGAAAGGCTGTGGCGGCCGAGTCCGGCTCTTGGGATCTCGACAGTACGGTTCGCTTGGTTGCGGACCTGCCGGAACTCGGAGTTGATTTAGTGGATGTCAGCTCTGGTGGTAACCACAAGGACCAGAACATTCACATGAGCAACAAGAATTATCAGATTGACCTGGCAGGTCATATTCGCAAAGCAATTCGGGAAGCTGGGGCATCGACGCTTGTGGGCAGCGTTGGATACATCACGGACGCAGAGCAGGCGAAGGAGATTGTGGAAGGAGCGGAAGAGGCTCGCGCAGCGGAGGCCACCCTGTCTGGATCATTCCCACGCGCTGATCTGGTGTTTCTGGCCCGCCAGTTCCTGCGTGAACCGGAGTGGGTGATCAACGCTGCAAAGACGCTGGGAGTCCCCATTGAAAAACCGGTCCAGTTTGGACGGGCCCTGTAGGGGGGGGGGTGCTAGAAGTGAGGTTATGAGAAACGATCTGATTATTGTAAATATATTTGTATGTTCTGAATAGATTTTGATCTGTTTCATTTTCCAGAGTTGAGTATCTGAGCTGAAGTATCTCAGAGGCAGGCAGGATGCGGGATGCGGACGGAAAGCGCCGAGGTCCTCGCGCTTGACCGCATCGGAATGACGAGCTGCATAGCAAGTAACAACTCATCAACCGCCACTGATTCATCGATGTGTTCGCTCCCTTAAGAACGCCAACCCCGCACTTTCTCCTCGTCCTTCCCCCTCGTTTTCAATTGACTTTTGCCCAACAATTAACAACAATCAAATTCGTTTAACATCACCATGGCCCTTAAACCCGGAGACTCGTTCCCCTCTGACGTTGTGTTCCAGTGTGTCTTCAATTGCCAGGGTAAAGCGATGAATATTTACTGAATTTGTGTGAAAGGTACATCCCCTGGACCGAGGAGAGCGGCGAGATTACCTCCTGCGGAATTCCCATCAACTACAACGCCTCGAAAGAATGGGCCGATAAGAAAGTCGTGCTCTTCGCCGTGCCTGGTGCGTTCTAATCTACCCCATGTTTCTTTCTCTCTAAGTGGAACAATGCGTACTAAGATGCGGATCCAAATCCATAGGAGCTTTCACCCCCACCTGCTCCATCAATCACGTTCCGGGGTACATCCAGAACCTTCCGCGGCTGAGAGAGAAGGGAGTGGAGGTGGTCGCTGTCATTGCCTCCAATGATCCATTTGTGATGAGTGCTTGGGGCAAGGCCAATAACATCAAGGGCGATGATATCGTATGTTGTTCAACCAAGTCTCCTGCTTCCCATCTGACGAGCCTAGCTCTTCCTCTCCGACCCCGATGCCAAATTCGCCAACTCCATCGGCTGGGCGAACGGCGGCCGCACCGGCCGATTCGCGATCATCATTGACCACGGAAAGGTGACTTACGCACAGATTGAGACAGAGAAGGGAGTCAAGGTTAGACGCCAGCTTCCATCCACCGGCTCTGTTTCAGGGGTTGCTAATCTTCAACGTAGGTTTCTGGTGCAGACGCTGTATTGGCTCATCTGTGAGGATAGTGAAGTGGGTAAAGCAAGTGAAGAAATCTATAGAGAACAATTTCGTGCCTGCCTCGTGTCTTCGTGCCGGAGAATTGAATCCCAGGGGTCGTGCCTTTGTAGTTCTGTAATCCTGAAGAGAACAATGCGTCGACCGCCATCTCCAGCTGGTTCGAAGCTTATGCAATCGATTCTCGAATCTTCCACAGTCCTTTGCGGGTGATCCAGGGCAATCAACCACGGCATTGCTGATGACTCCTGTGGACCAGGTCTACGACTCATGGACATGAAACAATTCGTCGATTTGAAGCTATCAAGCAAGCATTACCCAGCATGTTTTAACCTGATTAGATTCGGATCCTCGGGCCAGCTCAGTCCTGAAGCTTATCTATAGTTAGTACTAGGTATAGAGTACTTGTGTCTCTCCGCTGCTTGTAAATCCTTCCGAAGAGCTTGTATCAGTCTCCTTCTCGTCCGTAGCCTTGTCGACGCCCTGAACTTGCTCGAAAATTGGTGTCTTCTTCCAGCGTAGCGTGGGACGGGTGGGTCCACCCCATGCGGTGTAAGCAGCTTGCATGAAATCCCGGATTTAAGACCATTTCTCGGGAATACTGGACGATCTACATCCAATCACGATATGGAAGCCCCTCTGGAAACCCAGAGAAAACAGTGGCATGTTTTAAATTGTGTTAGTAAGGAAAAAGAGGTGAGGGAATCCACCCGGGCCAGAATCCACCGATAGCTCAAGAACCGAGCTAATCAGTTTTGAGGAAAGTCTCCCTGTGCCCCGCCCGTTCCCGTTTTGTGCTGCTGAATAATCTCTGTCGAGCTCTTGATGTCATCCATTTCTGCGACTGCAACATCTATATAAACCTCAAAGAAAGAGGCATTGATCGAGTGCAACAATATATAGTCAACTTCACATATACCATACACTTTTCATCATGGCTCCCAAGGTTCTCGTTGTCCTCACCTCTCAGGACCACTTCCCTGCCAACAACCACCCCACTGGTTGGTATCTGGTGAGGACCCCGCGATCCGCACGAAAAATCAATTTCTGTGACGACGAGCAACTGACACTATCAATAGCCCGAGTTCGCTCACCCCTGGGAAGTTCTCCATGAGAAGGCCGAGCTGGTCATCGCCTCCCCCAAGGGTGGCAAGGCCCCTCTCGACCCCAGCTCCGTGAAGATGTTCGAGAGCGACCCCTCCTCGACCAAGTTCCTGAAAGAGCAGGAGGCTCTCTGGACCAACACCGTCAAGTTGTCCGATGTCGCCTCCAAGGTCTCCGAGTTCGACGCTATCTTCTACGTCGGCGGCCACGGACGTAAGTCTCTTTGTCAGCCCAGCCTGTCAATTGAGAATGGTACTGATTCCCACTAGCGATGTACGATCTGCACAGCGACAAGACGTCCCTGGCTCTGATCCAGGAGTTCGCTGCTGCTAAGAAGCCCGTCGCCGCCGTCTGCCACGGTCCTGCTGTGCTGATTAACGCGACCACCCCCTCCGGCGAGCCTCTTCTTGCTGGTGCGGAGGTCACCGGTTTCTCCAACACCGAGGAGGACCAAGTCGGCCTCAGCCCCATCATGCCTTTCATGCTGGAGACGGAGCTGAACCGCGTCTCCGGCGGCAAGTACGTCAAGGCCGATGAGCCCTGGGGCGAGAAGGTTGTTGTCTCTCAGGTCGCTGGTCTGGGTGGTGCTGTCATCACTGGCCAGAACCCGGCCAGTGCCACTGGTGTTGGAAAGGCAATCCTCAATGCTCTGGGATTGTAATTGATGTGATGTGTGAAATGATACCTAAATATGCCGACCTGATAAATCTAATTAGTGATTAATCGATATTTTTATTCACGAGGGTTGTTTACTTTTGACCTGAGACATCGATTGCCGGGGAGAGGAGCTTGACTGATCCATAACATTCCAGTTTAACACCACCGCTTCCCGCAGGATGCAGTGTCGACTCGAAACGTTCTGGGGCTGAGACACGTTGCCTGTACCTTACCTTTCCACATCCTTCGGCACTACCTCACTCAACAAACTTCAGAAGCAGAAATCTCAGTGATGAATCTTTCATACTTTCTCCTAAAGCAGGCCGTGTCGGTCTACATGCCGAGAAACAATTAGGTAACATGTCATCTTGGCTAGGATCGTTCCATAGAAGATAGATCGGAACACATACGCCGACGGAATCAGGCAACGGTCGACCTTTCCTTCATGACGCCAATTGACGTCTATAAATCGATGGTATGGCTAGACAGAATCTACACCTGAAGCCTTCCCAGGTGTAAATCTGTCAAATTGCGAGAGTCAATCTTAAGTACAATCATTGACCCTTGACAACTAGATCTACATCTAAGACATCATCCATCATGATTGCCACCGACATGACCATATTCCTAGACACCACACTCGACGACCTCTACTCGCTGGACAGCGACGAACCTCATGGGGTGGTGACTGCGTACCCACACCCCAGCCAGCCCTCGCGGGCGATGCCTCACCCCTTCTCGTCCGAGCACTTCCTGTACGGCATCACCTTCCCCAACACCACCGCCCCGGACGCGATGCAAAACATCCTGGAGCGCGGCATCGCGCAGCGCTACTCCTTCATCGCCGGCCGCGCGCCCGTCATTCTGTTCGACTCGCTCCCCGCAACCACCGACGCGGAAAGCCAGAACAAGCCAGAACAACCCCCGCCCCCAGCCATCGCCGATATCCTCACCCTCCACGCCCAGCTGCACCCACCCCAGCGACCAAAGCTACAGTTCCCCCGCAACGCCTCCGCAATCGCGCCCCTCCCGCCCAACACACAGATCGCCATCATCGTCCCGCAAGACGAACTGGCCCACCTCCCGCACATCCTACCCCCGGAGACCCACTACCACCTCCTCAGCAAACGGTGGCTCGCACTCTCGTCCCTCCCGACGCCGACCTCCATCATCATCGACCCCACCACCCCCCCGACAGCGGACCACCTCGCAGCCATCGAAGCAGAAATCACCCGCATGCTCCGCCCCATCCAGACGCACCCCTCCCTCCCCTTCGTCATCAAAGTCTCCGTCGCCGCCTCCGGCCGCGGCACGTTCCTAATCCGCTCCGAACCCGACAGATCGGACGCGTGCATCCGCCTCCGCGCCATCCTACACACCTCCTTCCCGCACGTCACGCCGCAGAACGCCCACCTCCACCCCCTGGCCCTCATCCTCCAGCCCTTCGTGGCGGGCGAGGCCCACGGCATCTCCTTCTTCCTCACGCAGACGGGCAGGGCGATCTTTCACGCGGCCTCGCGGCAGCAGTTCAACGCGCAGGGCCAGTGGTGCGGCGGGTGGGTGTCGTTCCCTGCGCAACATCGGCTCAAGGAGCGGTACTGGGGGGTTGTCGTCGCTGTAGCGGAGAGTTTACATGCGGAGGGGTATTACGGGCCGGTTGGGGCGGATGTGATGACCGAGGAGAATGGGGGGCGACACGTGATCGTGGATGTGAATCCGCGGGTGACGGGGTCGTATCATCTGGGGTTGTTGCGGGGGCATTTTGTGGGGAGGGGTTTGATGGAGGTGGCGGTTTTGTCACCTTTGTATGTTGTTGGGGATAGAAGCGGGTGGGTGCGGAGGTTTGCAAGGGAGATAGAGGAAGGGAGGATGATTGTTACGGCTTGGGTGCAGGGGGTGGAGGGAGGGAGGAGTTATGTAGCTGTTACGGTGGGTGGGGAGGATGAGAGACGGTTGAAGAGGCTGGTTGGGGAGGTGGAGGCTATTGTTCGGGAGGGTGAGTCGGGGGTTGGGGAGTGAGAGTGTGTACAGCATTGTACTGTACTGTGTTGGGCATGGACTGTATTGGGGGGGGGGGGGGGGAAGGTAGATAAGGTCATCGCATCCATAGTGTTGATTTTTCTATTTTAGCTTCACCCAACCTTCGTCTTGATGGAACTCAAGAATACTAGATTCCACAGCAGAACATCGCCCTCAAGCGATCCCAAGGCCGTGAGCTACTCATCCATTGCGCCTCGCGACTCAGCCCCTCCCCCTCCCTTTTCTCACCCCACTTCTCATTATACTCCTCATCCACTGCACAAGTAGTCGCAGAAACATCATCCTTGTACCTCATCTCCTCCTTCGGGGCCTCAAACCCCTGGATCGACTCCACTACCAACTCAAACTCCCCCTCCTGCTCCCCAAAGAAACTACACAACCACAACCATCAGCACAAATCCCTTCCCCCAAAGCAAGACACCTCCCCCCCCAAGAATCAAGGAGAAAAGAAGAAAAAACTCACCTCCTCACCATAATCCCCACCCTCCTCACCCTCTCCAAATCCAACGGCTTGACCCCATCCCTCAACTCCCTCCCACGGTACGTCGGCCGAAACGCCTTCCACGCGAACCGCAACCTCCCACCCCCTTCCGGTACGGTGAAGTCCACCTCCCACGACAGCGAACTTCGCTCCCGCCCGTCCGGCCGATTCGGCCGGATCTCATCCTTCAGCGTGAGGGTGTAGCGCTTGTCGTCGGCGCGGGGGACATGCACCTCTAGCCCCGAGAAGCGGGAGAGGTCCCATTCTTTGGTCGTGGTGGTCGTGCGCTGGGAGGCGAAGCCGGCGCCGCCCAGGGTGTGGATGTCGAGGGTGCCGTGGAAGCGGGCTGTGGTCTTTTCGTCGTCGGAAGAAGAAGGCGTGATGGTCAGGTAGGAGTGGGAGGCGCCGCCGCGGACGCGGTCATCGGAGGAGGTCCAGTCTTCGGGGGTCCAGGGGCTGTTTTTGGGTGGGTAAGTGGCTTGCCCGGTGGTGGTGGTGGTGGAGGTGATTGGGGGGGGGGTTGTGGTTGGTCGGGACTTACTTGGGACCTCCGAAGAGGTAGGTTGATGTTGTGGGTGACATTTTTATTGATGTGTGTGTGTAGTTCTGAGAAAGAGACAAGGGGAATCGGGTTGCGCGGGGTAAGAATGAGGAAGAAAGGTAGGTGGTTTTTTTTTTGTGGATGTTGTTGATTCCAGTTCAAGAATCGCGGCAATCGGGATCGGAGAGTTTTCGGCATCGATGACGTCGGGATTGCGGAGCCCCCCGATTGCGGAGCTCGGTTGGGTTTAGCTTCGGTAAACGGGGATGGTCCCTTTTACATTTTCCATGATGGCGAGTGGCCAGAATTGAGCTTGTTTCTGTCTGGAGTATCATGGAGAACAGCTCTGCCGTAGCTGTTTCGTGGGAATGGAGCCGTAGGACCGGGGGAACGTCGATCTGGCCCAGTCTAGATCTTGGAGCTTGGACTTTGTCAATCTTCCGCAGGTCGCAAGGCTTTGCCTGCGCGTGTTTCATGCAATACTCGGGTATTGGTTATAGGTATACGCCAATTTGATCTGTCAGGTTGATCTTGGTCCAAGAGTCTTAATTCATGATCGTCGTTGGTCCAGAAAATATTGCGCACTCGAGAGCGTCAGGCTTAGAGTCGATGGCCTGAAGTTCTCGATCTCTGGAATCTAGCATAATCGCACTCAATGTAATGTTCTACAGTGAAAACGCGGCAATGGTATCTACGTGTAGTTCACGAACAGAAATGATGGGTGGATAAATGAGCGCGTAGAAGACTGGCTCGATCAATGCTCTGTGATTATACTGTACAGTACCAAAATGGGGCAGACCCAAAGCGAAGATCGAGCATCTTATCGGCTCAAGCTTATCGGGTCATGGCATGACAGCGCCTGGAAGGAGCATTTTGATTTAGATCTGGACACGCATGACCACCACCCTCGCCACTCGAATCAGCCAAATCCACAGGGCTCATGTCAACGTCTTCCTGACGCAAAAAAAATGCATCCCATGGTAGCCACATGTCTTCTGTATATCCGGCGGAACGAAACATATCCGACGGATATACATGTAGTACTTGACGTCATGTGTATGTAGTCTCAACCACAGCATATATCAACAATTGAGTCCTCTCATCGATTGCGGTGGTAAGCTATTGCATTCAATGATCATCTCCTGAGAGCAAGCACTCGGAACCAGAATCATCCACCACCACAAATCCCGTTCCACAGCAATCGTCACCATGGTTGCACACTCCGGAGGCATCACGAACGGCCACCCTGGCTCAGTTCGGTAAGTCATACTATATTTGTCACCGACAGTGCATGTAAGGCAGATACTCATAACTTCATCATGTAGTTCCCGAAATCTCGCCCTCTTCAGTATCTTCGGCATGATTGCCGGTGCCGCTCTCGTCTTCCGCGCCCAGTCCCCCAGCAAGGATGAGAAGCTGTTCTCAAACAAAGAAGCCCAGACGATGGTTGGAGGGCAAACGGGAGAGGACCGAGTGGGACGGGCACCGAGCCATCAGCCCAAGAACTGATCTGAAGGATTACTATGAATGTTATGATTATTGAGATGTGACTATACTGTACCTATATATGAAGCGAATGGCTGGGCTATATCGCATGGAACATCATTGTTGATGAAGTCTTTCTGTTCGAACATAATGAACTATACGTCCTCCAGTTTAAAGTGTGCTGTACAACGCTATCTCAACGCTTCATGAACATAAACCCCATTCTCCAAATCAGTGCCAATAGTTCGGCGCAACCCCCCGAATCAACCCCCACGCCTCCTCCAGCACCTTGACCACCTCCTCCGGCAACGGCTCCTTCTCCAGATCCGCCAGGTTCTCCTCCAGATGCCGGACACTACTGGCCCCAACGATGATCGCATCCCCCAGCTCCGCCCGCAACTCGGAATGATACTTGAGCCACCGCAGCGCCACCTCCGCCACCGTCAGCCCCAACCGCCCAGACACCTCCTGGATGCTCTCCAGGGCATCAAAGTACGTATCATTCCAGTAGCGCCCGCGCGCCACCGCGCCCTGCACGATCGCCGGATCGAAGCGCGACCCGGCCTCGAACTCGGTCTGCTGGCGCGCGTACCGGCCCGTCAGGAACCCGCCGGCCAGCGGCTGGAAGGCGTACAGCGCGAGGCCGTACTTCCGGAGACAGGGGAGGAGCTCGGGCTCCACGCTGCGCTGCAGCGCATGGTACACCCCCTGGTAGACCGTGGGGCGGATCCAGCCGTGGCGGATGCATAGCTCGCAGATCTGCGCCACCTCCCAGGCCATGAAGTTGCTGAGGCCGAAGCGCGCGAAGCGGCCCTCCGTGTGGAGGCGGTGCACCTCGCGCAGGGTCTCCGCGAACGGCACGCGCCGGTCCGGCCCGTGCAGGTAGAATAGGTCGACCTGCGCGGCGTCGAGCGCGCCCAGGCTGTCCTGCAGCCCCCGCCGCACGTCCGCGGGCGTGTGCGTGTACGCCTCCACCCCCGGGACCTGGCTGCTTGCGTTCGGGTACAGTTTCGTGGCCACGGTCAGGCCGCGCGACTGCCAGCCTAGCGCGGCGAGCATTTCCTCGGACGACCCGTGGCCGTAGAGTCGCGCGGTGTCGATCTCGCGGTGGCGGTGTCTTTGGAAGGTGTCGAGGATGGTGGATGCGGTTGCGTGGTCGGAGACGCGCGCACCCAGGGTGTCTATCTCTCGGTTAGCGTCGTGTTTGAGTTAGTGGAGGGGGGGTGTAGTGGATGCGTACTGGGCTTGCCAAATGTCATGGCGCCGAAGACGATTTTGAGGTCGGTGTTGTTGGCCATTGCTGCTATTGGCTTTTGGCTGTAGTGGTGAATGTGAGACCGTAGTCACTTTGTGTTATAGAGCAAAGACATGATTCCTGGGGCTGAAGCACTCTTTATATACATCTTCATAGATGATGCTCTTTGTCTCCTCGTGTCAGCCTGGTTAATTCCGTAGGAGATAAGTCATGACAGCTAACTCCGGCTGCCAAGCCCAACGCTTAAAGTGCTGAACGGCGTTCACTGCAATAACTTAGATGAAGGCGATTCCCAACACGAGCCGTGGCTGAGACTTGCTACGTCATCTAGCCAAATACAAGCCCATCGTTATGTTCGTCTCACCTGCAGCTGCGGATATTTCCGCAACCGCCAAGACCAAGCCGAACAGCCGAGCAATCAACAGATGCTTGACTCGACTTGACGGGGCGATTGACAGGATGCCAGATTCTCGAGATAGAGATTGTTTCTAGTTCTCTCGTGCGACCCGAGATAAAATCCGTGCAAGCGACATGCAGATCTCCGAGCTACAGCCGTCGGTGTCTCCGGCGTGCGCCGATCTTATGTCCGAGTTAATCTCCGGAGGTGAAAATGGAACAGACCTGTAGAATATTCTGTTATAAGGCTATTGATCGACAACCTTTGTTCTGAGCTTACTTCCAGTCTTCCAGGACCCTGCAGAATGCCTCGCCGAGCTAGAGTGGGTATGCGTTGGAATTGGTGGCATTGCTAGTTCCATGCCAGCATATGCAGCTGTGAACGCATGCGTGGTGCTACCACTGCACGCACCAGGCTCTCTGTGACTGACCGGGGAAAAATAAGATCTGAGCTTCTGTGTTGCTTCGAAATGTGTACAACAAATACCTACATATATATACTCAGTACGTGGGTCGGTCTGCCGTACATCCTCTGGCCTAAACATATAGATGATAGCATCCTCACCACGGCAGACTGGGTTAGAACAAGACACAAAGTATCGAGCCAGCCTAATACTTGCATTTCTTTGTCATTGATGCAGGCTCCGCTTCGAGGCTCTTCTTCCGGATTCAAGTCAGACTATGCGTGGATATCAACCGAGGCTCGAATAGGCCGATCCCGGAATTCTGGGCTCCGATCGCCGGACAGACGGTACGGCAAAAATACCAAGCGGCTGCCTGCAATTCTCAGTCAGGCTGAGTGTGTGTGGTGAAGATAGCCTAGGCGCGAATCATGGCCGCTGAGTTTGAGATAAATACGGTCTACTGTGTAATCGTTAGGGGAGGGCGGTGATTATGCTTATTATGGGGTGGTCCGCAGAGATTGGCCCGAGCCTTCAACCGGGCTCGCTGATTGGTGTCTCTCGCCGGCCCGGTCGAAGCTCTGATTTTAGCTCGGTTTGTTGTGGAGGCACCGATTTCTCGCCCGGTCTGTTCACCACTTTCGGGCTGAGTCCTTCTCCTAGCACGCCATTTGGAGGCATGAAAAACAATCAGCAGCATTTGGACTGACTTTCATAGGGCAGACGAGACTGTGCAACGCAAAATGCGCCCCAAATGACGTTTGACCCTCGATGCATGAAGCATGCCTTGTCCCTTCGTCGATGGCTACCATCATCTGACATCTGTGAACTATCGTTTTCCAATTGAGGCCGCTGTCGCCCACCCCTTCTCTCTCTTGAGCTCGGGGAATTCCGAGCGGGGTATGACAAGCCGTGCCTCGCGGGCTGGCCACGAGCTTATCTGTTGCCACGACGGCTGCCGCTGGACTGCACCACCACTCTTGGCAAGCGGAAAGACCTTCCACTCTCCGTGTCAATGCTTGTTGTCTCCTCTTCCCCCGTACGTGGGGTAGATGGTTGATGGCTGCATGGTGGTCTGACGGCAACTAGCATAGTTGACTCCGCTTTGGATGGCGTGCGACTCTCGTGGTTCGTCGTGCTATCAGCTCCAGTTGTTGAGAATCGAACTAGAATACGCAAGCAAGACCGCCAGCCAGGCCCGGATGCAATGAACAGCGTCACCCACCTGCTGTCGGTTCTGATACCTTTCTTGCTCGGCCAATCACGAAAAGAGCGATATCAGAATGTCGTTGACTATCTTGACCTTGGCTGGCAAGCTAGATAAGCCCTCCAGACGGTGCGGTCTCAATATCTGCTCTGTCGCAGTTGAAAGAGGTGAATGAGAGCAGACTTCAGGATGACCTTTCCCTGCGTCGAAGCAAGAAGTAAGGGTTGCATGAGTACCTAGTAGGTAAGGAGTAAGGCCTCTGGGCTGTGGCAGGGAATGTCTAGGGCGGATGGTGTGCTTTTAGGCGTTGTTGCCATATCGGGTGGGTCTATCGTAAGCCAGCATCTGCAGACGCCCTCCAACTATTGCAGCCCCCCTGCTCCCCTCCTTCTCTGTATCGCTGCTGCACGATACACCCGCGGTGGCGATTAGATATCGAATCCATCTTCCCACTATAAATGCCTGGCGGTCGGCTCGGTCGCATACTGTCGCCCCTCGGTTCAGGTTCATCGCTGCGACACTCCAAACTCCCCACCATGGCTTCGGAAGTCGGTGCCACCGGCAAGCCCAAAGATGAGATTGAGACACAATTGGCAGGAGTAGACGCTGATGGCAGTAGCTTGGAGCGCAACGAGGAGAAGGAGGAGGTGAATGTTGCCGAGATCCGAGAAGTCACTGCAGTTGAGGCCTTTACATGGAATGTCGATGGCGATCAATCACCTTGTAAGTGATTTAGATGGGCGCGTTTCATTTGACCAATGCATTGCACATACTAATCGCTCAAACGCTGTGCAGTCCCCGAAGTAGCTGCTTGTGTTCCCAATACGGATGATCCTAATACGCCATGCAACAGTCAGTATATCAGAGCTCTCGAGTTGGCTTTGAACCTCTGCTAACATTCTGTAGCGGTGCGCGCCTGGGTGCTGACCACAGTGTTTGTCATGATTTTCGCGGCCGTCAATCAATTCTTCAGTCTCCGTTATGTGCGTCAAGCTGGCTTCTTTCTGCGCATGAGGGTAAACACTGACAAGACTAGCCATCGCTCACTCTCCAATATGTCGTGGCTCAGCTGTTGGTCTATCCGGTTGGAAGAGCATGGGAGAAGCTCCCGAGGTGGAGGGTGCCCCTGGGCAGGTTTACGTTCGACATCAATCCCGGGAAGTTTAGCATCAAGGAGCATGCTCTAATCACTATTGTGAGTTGCTGGCGCGATCCACTACCTGTGTTATAAGCCCATCTGACTTGACATCAATAGTGTGTCAACATTAGTGCCAGCACGGCATATGCTTCGGGCTCTCTTGTAGCCATCACGATGCCTCAGTACTGGAATCGTGATTTTGGAGCAGGCTTCGCCTTCATCTACCTCCTGACATCCCAGATGCTAGGGTAAGATCTGCCCCCGTCGCTGGTAATGACCCTGTCTAACCAAATCAGTTTTGGGCTGGCTGGGCTTGCGCGTCGCTGGCTCGTCTATCCAGCTGCACTCATCTGGCCGTCATCGTTGTCGTCGACGGTGCTGTTCCGAGCACTCCATGAACCGGAAAGTCGCGCAACAGTCAACGGCTGGAAGATGAGCCGTTATCGCTTCTTTGCCTATTTTACTGCCATCGGCTTTGTGATCTATTGGTTCCCAGACTACATCTGGACCAGTCTGAGCACGTTCGCCTTTGCCACCTGGATTGCCCCAAAGAACCAGAAGGTCAACACCATCTTTGGGGTAAGTCTTCCTGCAATCCTTTTAGGTGGGGTTGGGACTGACATGTGCAGATGAATTCTGGCCTGGGATTGATTCCGATTAGTCTCGACTGGACTCAGATCAATTATGCAGGATACCCCCTCATGACCCCCTTTTATATCACCTGCAATGCCTTTGCGGTGGTGGTCTTCTTTTATCTCTTCCTCTCGCCGATTCTGTACTACACGAATGTCTGGAACAGTGCATAGTGAGTCGAGTCATGGTTTACCGAATTATTAGTACTTTCTAATTTTTTTGTTCGCAGCCTGCCCCTGCTTTCCTCTTCCACCTTCGACAACACCGGAAGCTCCTACAATGTTTCTCGAGTTGTCGACGAAAACCTGGACTTTGTGCTGAGCAAGTACGAACAGTACTCACCCATGTATATCTCCATGTCCTACTCGCTCACCTACGGCCTCTCGTTCGCCGCTGTGACGGCCGTCGTGGTGCACACCTATCTGTACAATGGCTCGGAGATCTGGGCCAAATTCAAGAACTCTCGCCACGGCGGTGAGGATATCCATCGGCGGCTCATGCATGCTTATCGGGAGGTCCCCGATATTTGGTATGGGATCTTGTTCGTCGTAACCGCCGGGTTGGGCATCTTCACCGTCAAGTACTGGGAAACCGGCCTCCCCGTGTGGGGCTTCATCGTCGTGTGCTGCGGCATGTGCGTCTTCTTGATTGTGCCCGAGGGAATCCTCGAGGGGACCACCAACCAGCGTGTCTTCCTGAACATCATCACCGAGCTGATTGCGGGATATGCTTGGCCCGGAAAGCCGATCGCGAACATGATGGTCAAGTGCTATGGGTATAACTCGGTCAAGCATGGAATGGATTTTGCACAGGACCTGAAGTTGGGACAATATATGGTGGGTGTCCAACATGTCTGTTTGGAGGATCAACTCTAACTGGCGCAGAAAATCCCGCCGCGGGTCCTCTTCTTCGCCCAGATCTACTCCAGCATCTTAGCCACCATGACTCAGACCGGCGGTATGTTCTCTCCACCAGTTCAGGTGACACCCCAAGCTGACACTGGCTAGTCTTTCGCTGGATGATGGGCAACATCACGGGGCTGTGTGACCCAAAGAACTCGCAGAAGTTCACCTGTGCTGGTGCTAAGGTTATGTATAACGCCTCGTTGATCTGGGGAACCATCGGCCCGCAACGCATGTTCCAGTCGGGGCAGGTGTACAACGCGCTTATGTACTTCTTCCTCATCGGAGTAAGTCCTCCCCCATCCCCCGTGTCGATGGACCTAACGTTATGTTTAGCCTGTGGTGACCGTAGCTGTGTGGCTGGTCTACCGCCGCTACCCCAACAGCTGGGTCAAGTACATCAATGTGCCCATCTTCTTCAATGGCGCGGGGAACATCCCGCCTGCCAACACCAGTCTGTGCCCGTCCTTGCTTCTCTCTGGTGTAAACATACTGACACCCCGCAGCGCAATATTCTCTCTGGTTCATCTTCGGATACGTGTTCATGCACCTCATCCGCAAACGGGCCTTCCTGTGGTGGAAGAAGTACAACTGTGAGTTGGGGAAGCCGTCCACGTCGAAGAATGGACATCGCGCTAATCACATGACGCACAGATCTGCTGCAGGCGGCCATGGACACGGGCACGGCAATCGCGACCATTATCATCTTCTTTGCGCTGACTTATAACGGGATCACGCTGAGCTGGTGGGGAAACAATGTTGGGTCGGACACGGATGATACCAACTCGGTGCCGTGGTTGACGGTCCCGACCGGGGACCACTTCGGCAAGGGCCCTGGCGAGTTTTAGGGCCGCGCCGTGGGCCAGACTGCATGCGTGCATAATTAATTACGACCTCGGGTCAGATATAGATGGCATCAGCGAGTTTAATGAGCTGGTCATAGGTGACCGCAAAACATGACAATGGCACGGTCATAGACTTGATAGTCATGAAAAAAATATGCCCTGATAGTTCTTCCCTGTGATGTCAGCCAGATGGTGTAGAGATGCATGACGCAATCAGAATGATCTCAAAACTCTTCCATCTATCCTCAATGATGCCTCGAAAGATCTAGACAAGACGCAACCGCACGGCTGACAGGTGATGTAAGAGAAAACAACAGCGAGGATAACCGCGCGTGCAGTGCATTCCGCGTGGCCCCTAATTCTCCCGAGGAGAAATTCTGCTGCCCCGACCGACAGCTGCAACGTTGGTCTCTTATCTCTGGGTCTGGGTCTCGGGACTATACAATCAGATTCTTTTACGGAGTACACTCCAGGGACCACCGGTATAGATCAAATTTCTGCACGACTAGCGTCGCGGATATCCTCGGTTGCCGTCGGGGTCAGCCACAGTGCCGCGCGGGTGTGCCTGGCCCGAGCCACATTTCCGAAAGTACCCGTCGCGTACCTTCCGGATTGAAATCGTTGATTGGACAATGGCGGAACAAGCTCCTTCGGAGATGTGGCTGGAGGTAGTAAGACATCCAGGCCCAGCGGAAAGAGATGGAGCACAATAAGTGAAGTACGAACCAGTTTCTCGGCCCGCGACAACATTACTTGCCCTGGTGGTTAGGTGTGAGCACTGATAGACTATCTATCGGCCATTCGGAATTCGATCATGGCACCACGGGCGGAGGCCAGTGGAAAATTTTGTCGTCGTTAGTCTAGAGATGATGGATAAAAGTGGAAACACACATTGCCAGACAAGTGGGTTGGTGGGTTGGAGGGTTGTGGAGTAGTGAGTAGATATATCAATCCGGGCCTGCCTGAGCTGTTTGGGTTTCCTTTCTCTCTCTGGTTCAGTGTGATAGACATCAATCCCATACATACACTCCGGAGACCGGCATCATCCACTCGCCATGGAGCACCACGATGATCATGAAAAGTACTTCTCCGAGACGACGCCCGTGGACAGCACCAGTGATGATTACTCGTCTTCCTTCGACGAGCCCCCGCACGCGGACGACGAGCACCACCCCGACTCGTTGGAGTTGGCCCGCATCAACACCTATCGACTGCAGCAGAAGGCGACGGTAGGGTCGACGCGACCCCCCGTGCCCCGGGAGGAATGGCTGCCCATGGGCGCGGGCAAGGAGTATCCGCCGCTGCTACCGGACCCGGAGACGTATGTGGTCGAATTCGACGGCGCACAGGATCCCCTGCATCCGTATAACTGGTCCATCCTGCGGAGGTATGCATGCCAGCAAACCTTCCCCCGTCAGCAAACCCTCATGAACGTCCCAATCACTAACGCCTTCCAACCCCACAGATCCATCCTCGTCGCCATCCTCTGCTACTCGACCTTCGCCGCCTCCTTCACCAGCGCCATCTTCTCGGCGGCGTCGACGGGCGTGAGCCGGGAATTCTCGATCAGCACGGAGGTCAGCACGCTCGGGGTGACGCTGTACGTGCTGGGGTTCGCGGCGGGGCCGACGATCTGGGCGCCGGCGTCGGAGCTGATCGGGCGGCGGTGGCCGCTGGCGCTGGGCTTGTTCGGGTGCGGGATCTTCACGGTCGCGTCGGCGACGGGCAAGGACGTGCAGACGATCATGCTGTGCCGGTTCTTCGGGGGCCTGTTCGCGGCGAGCCCGATCTCGATCGTGCCGGCGGTGTTTGCGGATCTGTTCAACCACGCGCAGCGCGGCATCGTCATGTCCATCTTCTGCATGGCGGTGTTCGTCGGGCCCTTCGCCTCCCCCTTTGTCGGCGGCTTCATCGCCAGCGACGGCCGCCTCGGCTGGCGCTGGACCCTGTACCTGCCCGCCATCATGGTCGGGGCCGGGTTCGTGCTGGTCGCGCTGTTCCTGGACGAGACCTACGCCCCCGTCATCCTCGTCCGCAAGGCCGCCCGCCTGCGCCGCCAGACCCGCAACTGGGGCATCCACGCCAAGCAGGACGAGGTCGAGGTCGACGTCCACGAGCTCGTCCGCAACAACTTCACCCGCCCGCTGACCATGCTGGCCACCGAGCCCATCCTGCTGCTGATCTCCTTGTACATCAGCTTCATCTACGGGCTGATCTATGCCCTGCTCGGCGCCTACCCCGTCATCTTCCAGGGGGTGTACGGGATGAGTGCCGGGGTCGGGGGTCTGGCCTTTGTCGGGTTGATTCTGGGCGAGTTGCTCGGCGGCGTGTTTGTGCTGTTCCTGCAGGGCGATTATAAGCGCAAGCTGGCCGCCAATGGGGACCGCCCCGTGCCGGAGTGGCGGTTGCCCGCTGCGATTGTCGGCGCGGTGGCCTTTGCTGGGGGCATGTTTTGGTATGTTTCTTTCTCCCCCTTGGAGTTCATGTATAGCACTGCACTATACTTCCTGCCCCATTCTTCCCCCGCATTCGCTAATATTGGTTGTGGTAATATAGGCTCGGCTGGACCGGCTACAACCCCCACATCCACTACCTCGTCCCCATGGCCTCGGGCGTGCTCACGGGCTTCGGCATCTTTTGCATCTTCCTGCAATGCTTCAACTACATTGTCGACTGTTATCCAACTTTGTACGTCCCCCACCCTCCTCTTCCTTGACCTTCCCAGAAAAGCGATGTGTACTAACGAAAAAAATAGGGCAGCATCCACCATCGCCGCCAACACCATCCTCCGTTCCGCCGTCGGGTGTGCCTTCCCGCTCTTCTCGCGGCAGCTGATGCAGAACCTGGGCGTGCAGTGGGCAGGCACCCTGCTCGGGTGCATTGCCACGGTGCTCATTCCGATCCCCGTGGTGTTCTGGCGGTACGGGCCCTGGTTGCGGAGTCGGAGTGCGCTGGCGGCGTCGCCGGTGGTCGGGGTGGAGAAGGGGGAGGAGGAGGGGAAGGGGGTGATGATGGTTTGATTTGAGGATGTTCTGCCCCGGTGGGGGTGGAGGATGAGGTTGTACTTGTGGAGTGTGCTGTGATGTATGGTTTGACGAGATACCCTTGCATTCTTGTTCTTAGCGCTTTTAGATACTGTATGTGATGTCTGATGACCAAAACAATTGAAACTCGAAATTTAATTCCATTTCAACACGTTCCATTTGTCTTGCAGATACGACACGCATGACTCCAGGATTCGCAACCTGTTGCGTATTCTTGGACAGAGGTTGCTTTGCGCCCTTGTACCAGGGTAAATGTGTTCGGTAGAGGCGAGGGGGGTGGCCATTAGTACCGAGTACTAACGTTGTCGTTATCAGGAAATCACACTAAACGCCCCGCACGAGGAATACGGGACCTGGTTTGGAGGAGTCAATATCGCAAAATCTGGCCCAGCTGGCCCCAATCTTGTTCATTGAGCTCATCGCCTTTCTCGTGACATCGTACATGTACACTTGGAGGCCAAGCATCGTACTTAGCGAACAGTGTCGCTTGTGAAGAGATATACTGGGAGAGACGGCGGATGGATTTATCCCCACAAAGTACGCGGCAGCCTTGCGGTAACAATAAGAGCAAGCTTTCCAAGATAGCGCATTCCTCACGTGTTGAGATAGATGTAGCTTCGTTCTTTTCGAATCAGGCGGCACAAGTCAGTCCACAGTAAGACTAAGATTGCTCAGGATAAGAACGCCCTCTATTCTGAGTACCTTTCTCATCCTCAACCCCCGGGAAATTGGGGGTTATTGACGAATGACTGAAACCAGTTTCCGGACGTATCGTGGAGAACACTGCTGAAAAGGTCCTGGTCGAGAAGGAAAGGAGACGTCAGCAGAGGCGCCATCTGCACTTCCGCATCCGACATGGGGTCCACCGACATGATTGGGTCAGTAAGATTATCCTGCGCCTCTCGCGCGGTGGCGGCCGAACGGGGCTTGTTCGTATATGTGGTCGAGCGTGGTCCGCTAGGTCTCTGAGAATGTTCCCTTTGCTGTCGCTGCAGCAATAGGAGAATATTGGCAGTCGGAATATCCCCCTCCCGTTCCATTGTCTCCAGGCCCGCGAGACGCTGCATGTTCTCTTCCAGGGAGAGCACGACCTCATCCGGAGGGCACATCTCGTACCCCAGGTCCAGGCTGAGCTGGCGGTAGAGTTGACACAGCGTCAGCAAAGTCCGATACCAGCCCGTGGCTAGGCCCCAGACCTTGCAGGCACGACCGAGCCAGCCATAGGCCCAGACCAGCTGGTCGGACAAAGACTTCCCGTCCGGCGCCTTCTCGATGCGTGTCCCTTGGGTCGCGTCCTGCGTCGTGCAGAGTATCCAGATCGCGGCGCTAAAGACACAGAAGCAGGTGAAGGGGGTTTGAAATTCGATACCACGCTGCTCGAGCTCCTGCAAGATCATGATAATATTTGCCGCAGCGGCAGACGTGGTCTGGTAGCATCTTTCCCACCATCCGTCTGGGGCGTCCTCTGAGAGCAGTGCCGGGCTGCCAGGGTCCGTGGCCGCGCGGTTGATGATCGGCAGCGCAAACGAAAGATATTCCCGATGCAGAAAGATGACACTTAGATAGTAGATGAGGTTCAGGATGGCGAAGCGCTCCCCCTCCCCACGGGATATGTACACACGAAAGTTCACCCCGGCGCCCGAGTACACCAATTGCGGATGCTGTGACCCACGCCAGTCATTTAAAGCGGCTAAGCTGCGCGCGGCGAAAGAGTCGCTCTTCCATGGCGGTTCCTTGGAAGCAAGCGAGTCGCGCTTGCGGCCACCCGCCGACACCCAGGCCGAGATTCTGTGCCATATAGAGAAGCCTTGAATTATCAGAAGTAGGAAACTGTCGCACCCCAACCGGTCTATAGAGAATGCCTGGAAGCGATAGTCCTCCTCTTCGGGGTCCCATATATCCAGAAGTAGCTCACGTGTGACCACTGGCCTGCCCTCAAATGCGAAGTCATCTTCCCCCAACGGTAAAGGGATTTCACTGACACTCATCGAATGGCTGGAAGCATGACACTTTCCACACCCGATCATAGCATCCACCAAGTAGCAGGCCCAAACGGTTCGACGCGCTTCCTCCAGGCGAAATTTCTGCGCCGCTGAAACATCCTTTTCCGAGGAAGTTTGGTTCGCCGCATGGACTCCATGCGCAATGCGAGAAGCCATCCCGTTGTAGATCCACGCACGGGAGCCCTCGCCCTCGCCCCAGTCATAGAGACATAGCATGACCAGTGCCTGGCATGAATAAAGATCCATAGTTTGCGCACTGTATTGCATGATATGCTGCCGGACGTAGTCAGCGAAGGTTCTGGAGGTTCTAGCTGCACTGCCATGCTGTCTGAGCACCTCCGGGATAAATCGAGCAGTCACAGCCAGGATGGCACATAGTAACAGATCAGGTATCCGATGCTGATCCAGGTCAAGGACAAAGCTGGGCTGGTGAAAGAAGTTGAACTCCGGGAACTGGCGGATGAAAGTATGGAACGCACGCTCGACGATTTCTTTGCTCAACCCAGTCAAAGGAGTTTGGCCCCTCGATGCTTCGTTGCAATGCGACTCGGGCGCGCTGTCCTCCGGCATACGATACTGCTGGGAGTCGAGAAGAGAGGGAGGATGGCGTTGGCTGAGGTGACGCCGGGAAGCCTCTTGAGTATCCGACAAGAGGTCTGCCCGAGACGGATCGAATCCCAGGTTATCAGGAATACGAGCACCGCTGTCCTTCCGGGGACGGGCAGAGACGCGCACCCGATTTGATGCATGCTTGGGTTTTGTTAGAATACATTCGCGTCCGCGATGCAGTGTGCAAGCTCGACAGGGTGGGGAGCCGTTGTGGTGGCATTTGACCTTCGCACTCCTGGACCAACGCTCATAGTCAGCGCCAAAGTCGAGGGCCAGAATGAAGAGCTGTGGTGCCACTTCATCTGTCATACTAGAAGCCAGATTCCTGGTTCATATGGGCATCAAGCTCACCGACACCAATGACACGCAAGTGTGGATCTCATGATCTGGAATGTTTGTGGTGAGTGTAGATCTCCATCAGCAGCAAAAGGTGGGTTGGGGAAGGGGGAAGCGGGAAGCGAGAAGGAGAACTGGACCAAGAAACAAGATCTCATTCCCGAGAGCCGAATCTCTATCGCATATCACATGACATCCATACCACGATTCACATTCAATAATGGTATGGATGGACAAGCTGCTTTTAAATACCTCCAGAGAGTAATTCTAGAGACAAATGCCTAAGTTATGCCGAGGTACGATAGAGGTAGATCCGTGCGCGTGAGTGTGTCGCAAGCAATTGCGCCTCCAAGAGGATTGTCCGATGTTGCTGCAAGAGCAATTAAGCTTCCAGCAGAATGACTGACAGTCTCGCATATTGAGGAAGATTGAAACATACTCGTCAATTAGGGTTGTCTTAGTGACCTTAGTCGGGGTTTGAATAAGAAATTCCCTTTAGAGCCTCTTGGGGGCCGCTGGATGCCGAAATGCGAAATGCGAAATGCGAAATGCGAAATGCGAAATGCGACAGACGTCGATTTCTAAGCCGAGATCACCTCAGACCGGGACGTGCTCGACTTTCCTCTAAGCTGGAACTAAGAGCTATGAATTCTATTGAACAAATAAGCAAACTGGCGTCATTTCGAGTAGTGGCGCCATCAGTCTTGATCTAGAACGACAGTCAAATGATTTATAGCTTCCTGTATCCCATCCTCCTCCTCCTGGTCCAAACCACAAAAGCATCAAAAAAGGCTGGTCATTCCAGAATCAAATCAGCAAATGGCTACCTCTACCAAGATTTACTTAACCCCGGAGAATAGTGGTGTTTTCAGCTCATCCGGACTGAGCTGGGCATCTGCTCGCAAAGTGAGCGAGGTGCTCCAGCATGACATGGAGAATCATCACATCTATCGCAATGATATTGAGTTTCACAGTAAGCACGTTAGGGGGCGCCGGGGTAACCATCAACTGATACTCACCTGGTCCCGCCAGATCATCTTGTGCACTTCATGCTCACGAGCTGGGCCTTGGGAGCCTCCCCCGAAACCATCGAGTTACAGTATAAACGCGAGGCGAAATGCCAACGACCAGCATTTCCCCGGGACGAGGCCAGAATCCAGTCGTTCGCCGACAAGAAGGAATTCATGAAGCACCTGTACCACGAGGACCAATATTCCAACTACCTGGCCTTCTTCCAGCGCGTGATCGCGGAAAAGGGGGTCGCGGCGGTCGTCAACGAGTACCTCTTCGGCGGCGACGAGCTGGCGGAGTCGCTCCTGTCCCGGCTGTTCGCGGGCCTCGTCCACCCCATCATCCACCTAGGGTTTGGGATCGAGTTCCAGCAGCCGGCGATCGTCGCGCAGGCGCTGGCCCAGGCGTCGGTGCACCAGGATTACCTGGGCGGGGACTTCTACAAGCCCGCGGCGGCGGCGGCGGCGGCGGCGCGCGCCCCAACCCCAACCAAGACACTCATGGAGATTATGGACGAGATGCGCGCCAACCAGACCCTCCGTGAAGCGGCCGTTCATGGTGACTCGGAGGTCTTCGCAGACGGTATCTTGAAGCGAGCCGGCGCCGAGGTCATCCGGGCGTGCTCTCAATGGACCGTCCCTGAGGACAAAATCCGCGAAAAACTGGGGGAGATGATCAACGCCGCCAGTGAGTCTTTCTCTCGCTTTCCTCCCTCTTGAGATCCTAGTTCCCTGGAAACATTCAACTCACCCCACCGAACACATCAGTCTACTGGACTGCGACCGCGCAGCATCCGCAGAAGCAGTTGAAGCTCGACTTCTTCTTCATCCACGCCGTGAACCTCGCCATTTTCTTCCAGGCGTTCACGGACCTTCGGTACCTGAGCTCTGCCAACAAAGCGCGCCTGCTGGAGATGAAAGGGCGCACGGATCTGCTGATCTGGGCCTCGCGCAAGATGCCGGAGCCGCAGCCCCGCGATGTGCTGAAGTATCCAATCCACCTGGGCTGGCCCGAGGTCTTCGCCCAGAGCTACCTTCACCCCTCCGATGACGGCCACCTGTCCAAGTTTGTCCGCACCGTGGCAGCCGCCGAGCAGCTGTGCCGACCGCAAGAATCGACATGGGATCTCCCCGTCCGAGGAGACATGTGGCTGCAGATCGGGAATATGGGTACGTTTCGTCCTCGCCGTCCAGATCTATCAATTCGTATTTTCCCGAGATTGCTCAGCTGACCACGCTCCTTCTAGCTGTGGACTCTGTGGGCATCGTTTCCGAGGATATGTGGGTTCGTGGATCCGGGTTCGAGGAGTCCTGGCAGAAATTCAGGCCCCGGACATAAAGCCCTAGGTGTTTACATGGTTTAATGGAAGGAAACTTGGATGGTTTTTTTGGGGTGGGGGATGGGGAATAGGGTTTGGGGATACTGCGGGGGGGGGGCTGTGGTGGTGATAATGGTGGTTTTGGGAGTGGGAGTATTGTTTGGTTTGGGCATTGTGGTAATGATCCTGGGTACAAGGTTATTTGTCTCGGTGAGAACCATTATCATTGCCACTGGATTCATCAACACCGTAAGTACTATTCTGGATGCACAAGGTAAGGATAAATACCTAAGATCATTAAGATGCACTCACTGAATGGCGTCACGACTGATTGGTGAAACCGGTCACTGTGATGTCATCCCCCCTTCCAGCCATCAACCTATAGCAGCCTCTCGTTTATCAATCTTTCCCAGCAAAAAACAAAATTGAGGAAGATTGTTTCAAGGAGGCAAGTAAGTCTTGGTCGTATCGAGAATCTTCTTGACTGGCTACTAGTCTGAGCTCGTGATCGTCGGATGCAATCTGGGGAACGAGGATCAAGGAACTTAGAACTCGAGTGGTCCATCGAATCCAATCGTAGAACGATTAGATCCCCGCCGTCTGGGTCTGGCCGACGACCTGCAGTGACCTTGTTCTGCGGAGATCTTCGCAGCCCACCTGCTCCCTCTATCGTGTCCGGGTAGTGTATCCCATCAATTAGCGACAAGAACGCAGCTCATTCGCACCTGTCATGTTTGTGTCATGCTTCTCGGCGCTCAAACAGCGTATCGAAGCTGGGTCTACCGTTAGGTCATCGTGATGCGATTCAGTATAACCCAAGCTTATATGCACTCCATGCCGACCACCCAGAAAAACGCCCAAGCAACAGATTCCAAATTCACTGCATTGCTCCGGCCATGCTCCAAGCTCTGAACGTCTACAGCGTCACATGCCATAGAGCAATCCGACACAGCGCCTTCAAACGTGTCAACTACCAGCTGCTCTTCACCGTCTCTCGATACTCGACCAGTACCACCTCGCCCTCCCGCAAGCTGGCCACCATGGCGGAACACTCCCATCAATTCATGAACACCTCCGGCGAGACGGACCCGGTCTGGGTCCGCCACATGCCTTACTCCAGGTACCCACATTTCCCTGTCCTGAATGAGAATGTTGAAACCGATGTCTGCATTGTCGGGGCCGGCATCGCCGGTATCTCCATCGCGTACGAGCTGGTCAACCGCGGCAAGCGGGTTACCATGATCGAGGCCCGCAACGTCCTCTCCGGTGAGTCCGGCCGCACCAGCGGCCACCTGTCCAACGCGCTCGATGACGGGTACACCGAGATTCAGAAGAAGCACGGGTCCCAGGGCGCCCGGGCCGCGGCCGAGAGCCACACTTGGGCCATACAACGCGTCGGGGAGATCTCCAAGTCCCTGGGCATCGACTGCGAGTACCGCACGCTGCCGGCCTATGAGATCTCGCAGTACCCGCGCGGCGACTCCAAGCACGACCAGGAGATCGCGGAGCTGAAGGAGGAAGTCGATCTGGCCCAGAAGCTGGGCCTCCGGGCCTCGTACCACGAGGGGCTCGCCGTGAAGGGCTGGGACGGCGCGATCGACCAGCGCGACGCGGCCGTCTTCGCCGACCAGGCCACCTTCCACCCCACCAAGTACTTCGTCGGGGTGCTGGAATGGCTGCGCCAGCAGCCCAATTTCCAGTGTTTCACCCATACCCGCATGATGTCCGTCGAGGAGAAGGATCTCGTCCAGGTGAAGACGTTCAACGGCTACACAATCACCGCCAACGACGTCGTCCAAGCCACGTGCGTCCCGCTGCAGAAGCTGAGTGTCATCGCCGAGATGGAGTACATGCGCACGTACTGCATTGCTATCCGCGTGCCGAAGGGGTCGATTGAGGACTGTCTGCTGTACGACGAGGCAGAGGCGTACAAGTACATCCGCTTCACGGAGTGCGATGCGAAAGAGGACTATCTGGTGGTCGGGGGCTGCGATCACAAGGTCGGCCAGGAGGAGACGGGAGGCCGGTTTGAGGAGCTCGAGACCTGGGTGCGCGAGCGGTTCACCCAGGCCGGCTCGGTCGACTACCGGTGGAGCGGGCAGATTTTCGAGCCCGTCGACTATATGGCGTTCATCGGCCGGAACCAGGGCCAACACAATACCTATATTGTGACGGGCGATAGCGGGAACGGACTCACTCACGGTGTGCTAGCAGGCAAGCTAATCGCCGACGAGATCACCGGCACTGAAAACGCCTGGGCTCAGCTGTACAACCCCAACCGTCTCACGAGCATCGCAAAGTCGATGCCTAGCATGATGAAGCATGATCTGCAGATTAATGCCCAGTACAAGCGGTGGATGCAGTCCGACATCAAGGACATCGAGGATCTCGCGCCTTGTTCGGGAGGCGTGATGAAGGAGAACCCGGCCAAGCCGATCGCTGTGTACAAAGATGATCAGGGCAAGGCCCATAAGTACAGTGCCATTTGCCCGCACATGAAGGCCGTGTTGAGTTGGAACGATACGGAGAAGAGCTGGGATTGCCCGGTCCACGGCAGTCGGTTCAGCTGCGACGGAGTGTGTATTGAGGGACCGTCCAAGGCCAACCTGACGCCCATGGATGAGTTTGCGAAACGGGAGCAACGGGCTCAAGAGGCCATGTAAACGATATCAGAATTTTCTTTTCTTCTTTTCTTTTCCATCAATGAGATGTATGTAATGGTTTTAAGTCGAGTACCATGGATTTGTATTAAAGATGTGCGTTGTACCGGGATAGAATTAACCATGAACGGGTAAGGATACGAAAACGAAGTGCGACCGGGGATTAAGCTTAGATATTGTGGAACCCGCCGCCCCTTTCCTAATCGGGAGCACGCAACGAGATACGAAGCATCATTTTTCCCCCTTAGACACACTGCCACGAGGATCAGTTCCCCAGCCATTGCTTACGCTGCATTTGAGGCAAAATGAGGTCCACTACTGCCTTAATTATGGATCGAGTCCACAGCTGGGGATTTCTGATACAGCGACAGCTTTTAAGATAAAAGCAGGGCGCAATCCTCTGCCTTGTCTTCTTTCTCTCTTACAATCTAGTCGCCATTGAATCTCTTCTGCCAATACTCTTTTTGCTAATCAACCAGCACAATGGCTATGGATTTCACGTTCTATTATTACTCGCCGTCCACCGCAGCCGCGGGCATCTTCGTGGTCCTGTTCGGCCTCAGCACCCTTCTGCACTTCTACCAGCTGGCCCGGACTCGGTCATGGTTCATGATCCCTTTCTTCATCGGAGGCATCCGTACGTCAAGCATACCATCCGTTGCACATATCCACACAAGCTAACAGTACGGATCGACAGTCGAGACCATCGGATACGTGGGCCGCCTGCTGTCCGCCCTTCAAAGCCCCGATTTCACCAAAGGGCCCTACATCATCCAAAGCGCCCTGATCCTCATTGCGCCCGCCTTCCTCGCCGCGAGCATCTACATGACCCTCGGTCGGATCATCCGTATGGTCCACGCAGAGCAATACGCAGTCATCCGACTGAGCTGGATGACCAAGATCTTCGTGACGGGCGATGTGCTTTCCTTCTTGATGCAGGCTTCCGGTGCGTTTCCAGCCACAACCCTGATTCTGCGACAACTTGACTGATCCATGAACAGGCGCCGGGCTGATGGTCAGCAACTCCAACGACCCCTCCACCGGAGAACACATCATTATCGGCGGTCTCTTCGTCCAGATCATCTTCTTCGGCTTCTTCATCATCACGGCTATTATCTTCGAGTCGCGCATGCGGAAGAACCCGACCGGCACGGCCATGGAACTGTCCGGTGTGTGGCGCCGGCACATGGTCGCCCTCTATGTCTCGAGTTTTTTAATCTTCGTTCGTTCCATCATCAGGGTGGTGGAGTACCTGGAAGGGTATGACGGGTATCTCATGAAACACGAGGCGTTCATCTATGTCTTCGACGCGCTCCTGATGTTCGGGGCGATGGTCGTGCTGCAGTACATCCATCCCAGCCAGATCAACTGCTTCCTTGGGATGGGGGACAAGTACTCGGAGAAGGCCTTCAAGACGCGCAAGTTCGTGCCGCTTGCGACGGAGATGGAGGTGTCGTCTGATGTTTGAGGGGGTGTGTTCCGCGATGAACATTGTGGATGAGGTCTTTACGAAGCGATGATTGTTTCGCATGCTTGTCTGCCACCGATGCATATGTCTGTATATACTGTTAGTTTGCGCTGCGTTTTTCAATCTCGTCTGCAACCAACTTGATCAATCTCAACCTATCATTATCATCTAGTCGGAAATAACCTCATGCCAACTTTGCTATACTCAGCCGTGCGGCTCGCATCACCATCACCCTGCCATCGGTTTCCTGCTTCTCGGCATGCATGCAGTGCCGCAGTGATTGACGTGCTGCTATCCGCATTTAGGCTGAAACTACCGCATCGTCGCTCGTCATAATGCGAATCAACCAATCCACTCGTATCGGGCATTACCCTCCTTCTGCGACTGGCTGATAAGCCAATGAAGAAGTTTCTCTTGATTGCATCTGCAGCACCCCGCAGATGCGCGATACTACCAGTACCCAATGATGTGTGTGGTTTCGCACAAGCAAATGCCGTCACACCGGGATCGAAGAAGTACATATCCCCAAGCCAGTCCCCCTCCCTTCCTCCCCAAACTTCCCAACCTTAGTTACCAGCACAATGCCAGAAACTAACCCGCGGGACATCCTCCCGAACCTTCCCTGCGCCCTCCCAGCAACAGGCATCCCAGCAAACACAGACATCCGCAAGACTGCGGGCCTATTCTCCGACGTCTTCCGCACCGACCTCACGCCCACTCTTTTCACTCAAGACGCAGTATGGCGAGACACCTTCGCCCTGACCGGCACCTTACGAACCTTCTACTCCGCGCCCACCATCTGCGACGTCTCCAACCGTCTACGCACCAGCCGAGAAGCCGATACCTTCTGTGTCGACATCGACGCCGCGAAGCCCGTCCGCCTGGGTGCCGAATGCGGCTGGATCGATGTGCCCTTCGTCTTTCGGACCAGATCGCGCTTAGCCACCAAATGCTCCGGGGTGGTATCGCTGGTCCGGACCGCCGCGGAAGAGGAGTATCGGGTGTGGATGCTGTGCACGATGCTTGAGGGATTGCTCGGGTGGGGGGAGGTGGATTCTCTGGGTCCGGGGGTGCAGAACATCTATGGGGTCGAGAAGGTGGACGTTGATTGTGTGGTTGTCGGGGCGGGACACTCCGGGCTAGGCACGGCGGGCCGGTTGAAGGCTTTGGGGTTTTCGTGTGTGGTGGTTGAGAGAAATGCACGGGTCGGGGATAATTGGCGGGTGAGGTATGATTCGTTGAGGTGTAGGTTTTCCCACTAAGTATCCAGTGCTCTCTGGAGGGCTGGGGTTTGGCGACGGAGCTGAACTCCAAGGCACCAACTAGTACACACCATTCGCAATTGGTCTCATCTCCCCTTTGAACGTACCTTTCCCCCTGCGTGTGGGGAGTGGTTGTCCAAGGATCAGCTGGCGGATGGGCTGGAGTCTTGGTCGCGGCGGTTTGGGATTGTTCGTCGCCCCCGCCGCTTTTGAGATGAGTATAGGGGAAACTACTGATGGGATATAGAACGTCTGGACGGCCACTGAGCTGGAATCCGGAAGCTGGGATGAGATGAAGAGGAAGTGGACGCTGAGACTTCGACAGCATGGTGATCAGCGGCCGAGTCGTCGTCTGACGGTCACTTGCTCTCATGTCGTGCTTGCCACGGGCGGACCCGCGTTGACACCTCGTCAGCCTCGATTGTCGGGCGAGGTTTGTCTGCTTGTTCTCGTCATCCTATCTCTCTGCTGATGAACGTTGATAGGAAATGTTCAAAGGTGAGTTCCTGCACTCGGCGAATTACAGGAATGGAAAGAAATGGAAAGGTAAACGGGGCGTGGTGATTGGCTCGGCCAATACAGGTAAGCCACAGTGCTCAACTTCAATACGTCCATTGAGACTTCCCCTTGCGGTTGAATGCGAATGAAACCTAGGCCATGATATCGCAAAGGATATGGTCGCATCTGGGGCTTCGTGTGTCACTATGGTGCAGCGTAGTACAACTTGTGAGTTGCTCTACACTTTCTTTGCCAATAACATGAACCTTTGGCTCATGAGCTGATAACACCAGACGTTCTGCCTCGGGAATACCTGCAGCGAGCATGGGAAGGTAGGCTGCGTCCGCTGCCGTCTTTATAAGTTTTGTCCGAGAGTCTTGCTCTGATGGCACGCCAGGCATGTTCAACGATGTGACGCCTACGGAAGTCTCCGACCGCGAGATGAACCTCGTCCCGACTGCTGTAGCGCGGCTGATGACCATGGCAGTCGTGCATCCCCAGGCCGCCGCCGAGCCAGAGCGGTTCCAGGCTCTCCTCCGCGCTGGGTTCCGAGTGGAAGTGTTTGGAGATCTGATCTATCAGTTGAATCAGCGTCTTGGTGGGCATTCAATGGATACAGGGTCATCGGCAATGATCGCCAGGGGCGAGGTGGGGATTATATGAAAGCTAGAAACACAAGCGAGTCAAGTGCGCTGACTGGGTTTCGAATAGATCAAAGTCAAATCCGATAGTCCGTTAGCGTCATACACAGAAGAGGGCCTCCTTTTTGGTGACGGGAGCGTCCTTCCGGCGGATGTGATCTTCGCGACGGGGTTCACAGGGAACCTTCGTGATTCGGTCCGCACGTTTTTCGGCGAAGACATCTACAATCGCGTGGAGGACTACTGGGGTATTGATCCGGAGGGTGAGTTGAAGGGTGTTTATGTCCCAACTGGCCGTAAGTGTAATCTGTTCTGCTTCTTTGCATGATACGTTATGAGGAGTCTTGAGAGTTGACGTGAAATTCATGCCACATCCTGGTCTATGGTATATGGGAGGAGGAATGGGCCAAGCTAGGTTCTATTCGAGATTTGTGGCCTTGCAGATCCGTGCCAGCCTCGATGGGACTCCACTGCCTGTGTACCAAGGAATACACCTAAAGGAGAACTCGGCATAGTCGGCGAAATTGAATCTCTCATGATCCACTGCGAGACCCCTAGGATAGATCCTAATTGCAGCCGCTCGAGAACATAGACTGAATGAAATCCCGGCTGCCCTGGCATTGTCAGATGTAGACATGTTCTAGTTGCACTCAAATGGGACTTGAATCTCATGTGAATTGCCATCATCGCGCCTTTTAAAAGGCTGGCAGCGGTCCTGAGATCATGACCTGTCCCGCCTTCCTCCATTCAAGTTTCTCAGCCAGCATATCCCAGCTCAGTGGACCGTCAAAACGTCCTATACCTTTCAGACGAGCCGCCACAGACGCAATCAACTGTTCGAACTGGTCTTTGATCTCTTTTATTTGTTGTAGATAGTTCGACTCATGGAAGGAGTCAGCGGATTCATTATCATTGGTATCGAAGTCGTCGTCACCCTCGTCGCTAAAGTCATCATCGACGTCAAGACTATGTATGCGGGTCTTGCGGTCCACAGCTGGATGATTGCGACTGTCTGTATTTCTCAAAGTCCTCCCGAATTGAGACTGGTCGCTTCCGTAGCGCGTGGCCTGAACCTCTGAAAAACGGACACAAAGGTCGAGGATAGCGACAATGGCTTGGTGGATCATTTCAAGATTATCCGATAGCAAGCATTGTTCTTTAAGTGACATCATAAATCTATAGTGGGCCTCGACCATACCATCAATGTCACTGGCGGCAGATAAGTCCTTGCGTAACGACGCGGTCGCTGCTGAAATGACGAAGTCTGTCATGTGACTGTAGATGGCGTTGAGAAACCAGAGCATGTTGTGTCGCAGCGCATAGCTTAGCGTATTGTTCCTCGTATCTTGTATCTTGTCATGGATATTGCTATGCTGTAAGCGCTGTTTCACAAGTGCATGCTTCGCTCTGCGAATTTGCATCAGAAATCTGGAAATTCGCTGGTAATCATAGATCGCGGATTTCGGGATTATGTTTGCAACAGGCCACGGTAGAATATAATCAAATGAAATTGCATTAAGCATGTTCATCGATCGGCTGCTGCTCTTCTCGCTGTTTAGTCCATCCGTCGAGGATCGTACAATGAGTCGTGACGGGTCAATAAATGGCATCGAACCAAGAATACTCTGTGCCAGTTCTGTAAGGAGATATCGGTCGCTCCATGCCGCTTTCCCTCTATCGATCAGGTCGAATATTTTACTGTCGATTATGCCAGACATGCTCATGTCTCGGCAGAGGTAGATGTACTCCAGAGCCTGAAGCGATTCCCACAATCCACACTGTTTGTCAAACTTGCGTCTCAGTAACGCAGATGTAGCATTGTAGTTTTCCTCCACCATCCTTTGGAGGGCAGACTCGAGCAAAACAGAAAAAGGAAGGTAAGATGAAGGGGATTCTGGAGGGCACACGTCTTCTATCGTCACGGATGTTTTTCTGCGGTCCTCATCACCCGGACTCATATTCAAGTGCCGCAAGAATACCATGCTCTTGCCGGCAATGAGAACTTTCTGCATGATGGGTTGGATGAATTGGGGCACAGAGGAGATGTTCGAAAGCGCATCGAGGGTATACCAGTCATGCCAGAGCGTTCGCAGGTCACCATTCTTCTGCTGGTGGTGAACGAAAAACCCGTGATTGGCTGCCTCTTCTAGTTTGCCGTTTTCTAGCCAGAGACGAATAGGTCGGGCATATGTTTCCAGACATGAAAAGAACAGATCAGCAAGGACCGCGAACCCATCATCGTCACCTGTCGCTTGAGTCAAGCATACTACATCGTACAGACGATTGAGACTTTGAACGGAAGCATTCACTGACGTTGTCTCAAGCTTCGAGACTAGGTCTGACAGTATCAGGAGAAGCCTAGTCTCACGGCACACATCTTCAGAGAGCTGCAGTAGACTAACAGAGGCGGTTGACGTTGGAGAAAGGTACTGGTGTTGTGCTTTTGAGAGAAACATGTCATAATTACTCAGACAGCCTTCCAGCCCCCGCTGGAAGGTTTGCATAGAAGGAATAGTTTGTGGCATCCTGACGAACAGTCTGAGAATGTCGACTTGAGTTCCGACTGAACTCAGGGATCGTAGAACCGAGGAGAAAGTTT